CCAGTTGGTGCCAGTGACCCAGTGACTGTTGGGGAAACTACAAAGATGTCTTTGGAATCTTCAGAACCAGGACATACCAGAACTCAAGCAAGCACAAAGACACTGTCCAAGACAGGCCTTGGTAAAGTAGATGTGAAAGATGAGCCTTCAACACTTGGGAAACAAACAGCATCACCAGGCAGAGCCACACGCACACCCAGGACACCTGTGCAAAAAGAGAATGATGCCACAGCCTTTATGGAAACTCCAAAGCAGAAACTGGATTTTACCGGAAATTCAGTGAGAAGTAAGAGGAGGTCACGGACACCTAAGATCAGGGCTCCACCCCTAGAAGACCTGGCTGGCTTCCCAGAACTGTTCCAAACACCAGCTGGTGCCAGTGACCCAGTGACTGTTGGGGAAACTACAAAGATGGCTCGGGAATCTCCGCAACCAGAACCAGTCAGAACCCCAGCAAGCACAAAGAGACTGTCTAAGATGAGTCATGGTAAGGTGGATGTGAAGAAAGAGCTTTCTCCGCTAAATAAGCCAAGGTGTGCATCACAGGAAGTCATGCATACACCCAGACTTCCAGAAGATGATGGCAGAGGAGCCAAAGATGTGAAGAAATCCGTAGCTCAGACATTGGACTCAGCAGTACATGTAACTCACAGCAAGAGGCAGCAAGGGGCATGTAAGAAAAGGTCCCAGTCATCAGAAGACCTATCTGGTCTTCAGGAGCTCTTCCAAACACCAGGCCATGACAAGATTTCAGTCGCAGGTAACAAGCTCACAAAAATGTCCTGCAGGTTTCTACCATTAGAACCCAAAGACACTTCAGTAACCTCACAGATACAGCCCAAAATTAATCTGAGGAATCTTGTGAAAAATGAAGTGTCAGGAGACAGAATGCTTCCACAAATATCAGGGGAAATCTTAGGCTCACCTAGAGTACCAGAAGGTGAAGGCAGAGTCATTAGAACAAGGAAGCAACCTGTAAAGCGGAAATTGGACACAGCAGTCAGTGTGCCTGACAGCAAGAGGCAACGAGTTGCACGAGCAGAAAAGGCACAGACACGAGAGCATCTGTCTGGCTTCCAAGAACTCTACCAAGATCCAGGCTTGTCAATGGACTCAGTGACTGTTGACAAGACCACAAAGATGCCCAACAAATCTCCAGAATCTGTGGAAATGATGTTAGAGACACAGCCAAGAAGAAGACTTAGGAGACTGGGTGTGGCTGAAGAGCCTAGAGCACAAAGAAAGACTACAAGAGTGGTACGGGAAACCAGAAATACACAAAAAAAAGAGCCCATGGGTGACAGTAAAGGTGTCAAAGAGTTTAAGGAATCTTCAATGCAGAAACAAGATCCAGCTGTAAGTTTAACTGGCAAGAGGAACCAACCAAGGATGGCTAAGAAGACCCAACCCTTAGAGGAGCTGATCAGTTTTCAAGAGGAAACATCTGTAAGAATGTCTTGCCAATCTCCACAACCAGAAGAAAAGGAAACCTCAGCAGCTTCAAAGAGGCTGTTCAGAACACAGCTATGCAAAGTGGATGTGAAAGAAGAGCCAACAACGCAGAGAAAGCCACCAGGCAGGGAAACCAGGAGCACACTCAAAGAACCCGTGAGTGATGCTATAAATGTTGAAGAAGAGCTTAAGGCATCTACAAAGCGGAAAATTGACCTAACAACAAGTATGCCTGTCAACAAGAGGCCACGGAGGGTACCCAGGGAAAAGGCACAGTCCCTAGAATTGGCTGGTCTCAAAGGACCAATCCAAACCCCAGGTCACACAGAGGAATCAGTAAGTGATAAAAGATCCACACAGATGCCCTGTAATTTTACACAAACAGAGCAAGTAGACAGCCTCCAAATCTCACCAAGACGTCCCAGGACTAGACGTGGGAAAGTAGAGGTGAATGAAGAATCTTCGGTACTGAAGAAGACAATGCCAACATCAAGGCAAACAATGCGGTCTCGCAAGGTCCCTGAAATTGATGACAAAGGCACTGAAGTTTCAAAGGAGTCTGTTAAGCAGAAACTAGACACAGAAGCCAATGTAACTGGCAGCAGAAGGCGGCCAAGGGCACATAAAGATGAGGTCCAACCTCTTGAAGTCCTGAGTGACTCCAAAGAAATAACCCAAATATCAGACCATTCTGAGAAACTAAGACATGACACACAAATGCCAGACTCAGTAAAGCCCCTGAGAACATGCAGAAGAGTGCTAAGGACCTCTAAAGAGGAGCCCATGGAAATGTCAGTGGATACCAGAGAACTCGCAGCTTCACAAATCAAAAGCAACACTTTCCTGCCCCCCAAGAGGACGTCTGCAAGAGATGGAAGTGTTTCAAGAGCCAGGGTGTTGCGCTCTGTGACACAAAAGCAGGAAGCCACAGATGAGAAGCCTGTACCTAAGACACAGAGAGCTGCTCGCAGCAAGAGGCATGTATCACCTGAGCCTGTGAAGAAGAGACACCTGAGAACCATGTCAAACAAAATTGAACCTGTGGAAGAGCAGATTAGCAACATCAGGAAAACAGAAGAAAAAGAAGACAAAGGAGAAAACTCAGTCACTCCAGATCAGGTGATGGGGATGGACATGGTGGGTGCTTGTCTGGGAGGGTTTGGCTCACATTGCTTACACTTATTGTGTATAATTGGGGGCTTATCCTCAAATACTCATTTCCATACAGTTTCCATTTACCACCTTTAATAGCTATGGCCAGTGGTCCTTTGGGGATTTGCACAAGGAATAGACTAACTCCTTAAAGTTTTCCTCTCTGGAAAAGAGCTAATCAAAAATGGCTGTAATAGTTCTCAGGGAGTGAGTGAATTACATGCATCTTTAGTTTGAAGAATAAATCAGAGAATAGATGGGCAGTATAATTCTGTTAAGGACACAGCTACTAAATTTCATATATTCTGGAGAAGGAATGGAACAGGGAGGCCATCATGGCACTCCTCAAAGATTATAGGGCCTTGCTCTTTGGTGATCTTTAAAGGGCCAGGGATTCATTTACTGCCTGTATGATGGGTATTCTTCAATAGTATGAACTGGATTGTTTTCAGTATGATGTATTATGATTAAATTTATAATAAATAATCTATAATTTATTAGTAGAGATGATTATTTTTCCATAGGAACAAAGTAGCCAATGCATTGCCTTGAATATTTTAGATGACTCTTAGTAAATTAATCAATATAAAGTTTGTGATCCCTTTTTTATAATTTTGCTTTTATTTTTTTTCCTGATGGGTCTTGAGATTTAATTAATTTAGTGGTTGTCTTCTCATTCCCTTAGAAAACACCCCAGAGCTCTAGATCCCGAAAGAAAACCAATGAAAAACAGCTAAGACCCAAGATTGATGGATCTGCAGATAAGGTTGGGATAACGAAAAATGAGAAGACCATCAAGTCCTCCCAGGAGACAGAGCTGCAGAACCCAGATGATGGAGCCAAGAAGTCTACATCTAGGGGCAGAGCCAGTGGAAAAAGAACATGCTTGAAGTCTAGAGGACAGAGTGAGATTCCTCAGCCTTATGCTTCAGAGGAGAAAACACATGAGCCAGATACGGAAATCGTGATAAAGACTCAGAAAGAGAGAGGAGTCTCTGGACATTCAGATGTTAGGTCTTTGCGATCCAAAAAAGCTGGAGCCACTTTGGACACTGAACTTAAGCCAAGAGTAACTCGAGGTGCTAAGAAAGATGCAAAAATTCCAAAGCAGGTAAGAGCCTTTGCTGTTTTACATCATACAAGACCCAGAATGTTCTAATACTTATGCCCACATTGTAAAGACAAATAAGGACATGCCAGCAGCTTCCAGCATGCTAGCTGCAGAAGCTGTCATCCAAGTCACCTACTTTCTTGTGTCTATTTTGGTAATTCTACTTTGAATAGTGAATTCACCTATTGAAAGTTTCATTCCAGAAGCTAAACGTTTATCTATTGTCACTTTCTGATGCTTGTAATGTGCCTTATCATGATTATAGATGAAATCTTCAGCCTTTCTCGGTTGACAACACTTAACTAAAACAAAGATGGCCATGTCTGGACCTCAAAAGATTTCCTTTAAAGTGGCTGAATAGGGGCTGGTGAGTTGGCTCAGTGGTTGAGAATAGTAACTGTTCTTTCAGGGGAGCCAGTTGTGGTTCCTAGGACTTCATGGCTCACAACCATCTGTTCAGGGCTTCTGATGTTTTCATCTGACCTGCTTACACCAAGCAAGCAGAACACTCAAAATTAATAAGTCTGATTTTAAAAATAAATAAAAAGGCAGAATGAACCCAGGATTGGCTGTCTCCCAAACAAATAAATGGAAGTAGGTAAATTCTACTCAGTAGGAAGTGTGTTATTTCATCACCCTGACCTCACAGTATCTGACTAATGGACTGTAAATTCTCATGCAGTGTCTGTGATTTGCATCATTCTTTTTTTTTTATTTTAAAAATATGGAACGCTTCACGAATTTGCGTGTCATCCTTGCGCAGGGGCCATGCTAAATACTCTGTATCGTTCCAATTTTAGTATATGTGCTGCCGAAGCGAGCACGATTTGCATCATTCTTAATGGCATGGTTACACTAAGCAACATTCTAGGAAAAGCTAAAGATAGGGTGGGCAGGTACCTTTGTGGGAATGATACATAATCACTCTCAGCACTCAGCTTGAGCCTGAACATACCGTATTCTGAGACAACTGATGAGATAAAAGGTAGCAACAACCACTTGAAGTACAAGTGGCTAAGCTGGCAGTTCTAACCACTTCTAGAATAAACCAAGAAGCAGGACTGACAGCACAAGGAGACCCAAGGTTTTCAGAGGCTGTGACAGTTCCCGCACAGCTGGAGGGACGGAGCAAGAAGGCATGAAAATGTAGTGGGAAGGTGCAGATAGACAATCTAAAAATGGTTCTTAGCCTTCTTAATGCTCCAACTCTTTAATACAGTTCCTCATGTTGTGGTGACCCCCAACCATAGAATTATTTTCATTGCTACTTGATAACTAATTTTGCTACTGTTACGAATCGCGTAAATAACTAGTATGCATGCATGATATCTGATATGTGAAAGGGTTGGCACCCCCACAAAGTGCTTGCAACCCACAGGTTGAGAACCACTGCTCTAGAGGACAGAAGAGAGGCTCGGGAAAGTAGACTGAAACCCAGGAAGTGGAAACTCATGGCTCTCTGGAATTAGGAACCATATCATGGTAGCAAGCCTTCATTATAGATGCCAAAGAGACACCAGGAACACAGCCTTATAGTATATCTCACTTTAAATCAGAACTTGAAGCACAGATTCATAATACTGAAAGTAGTACTTTGTCAGAATGAAATGGAAGGAGTAAAACCCAGCCTTTTTACTTGAATAACCCTGAACACAACAGCCAAGCCCTGAGGGTGATCAGGTCAGGTCATCACATCATAGGCACGCAGGTCCACTGGTTCCCAAGAAAGTCCATACACTGACAAGTTTTTCCAGGACTATACTCTGCTTTCTGTCAGCCATGTGCCTCTGTTCTGTTTACCACAGACCCAGGTACTGCGTATGTGGGGTGTACATATTTTCTAGAGGTTTGTTCTGCAGGTGTGCCGGAGGATCAAGCCTCCTCTGCAGTGTGTGCCTTTTTGTCATCATGTGTACAGTAGATCCATGTTAGCAGCTACCTGTTATTGTTTTCTAGAATTCGACAGCATTCACATACCAAGGCTTCTTTGTCCATACTGAGCCTCACACTTAATAGTTCCTTTTTCTGTCTCCCTTTCTTACTGTTCATGATCATTCATAAAGCTCCTTCTAAAGTATGCCCAGCATCACCGTTGGCTTTTCTAATTTGTGTTGGGTGGGCCTTATGTTTATCGGGTACCAGGACTTGGAGTCGTTTGCTCTAAGAGGCTATTGTCATCTTTTGCTTTCTGTAGATTTGATCCCCATTTCCAGGTAGATGGGCCTCCACCTCCCTTCTGCCTTAGAGGATTCACTATACTCTTGCAGCCACATAGTAAACCTCAGGACACAGTGACTGTCCTTGGTCCATGGGAAGTTGGCTTTAGGACACTTAAGTTTTCATCTAGGCCACATTCAATTTTTCTGGATGATGTTTTCTAATTAGTGAGTCATGTACACTGAGAGAGAACTTGTGTAATATAAGTTAGAAACTTGTAAGAAAGCATAGGGTCTAAGTTTGAGAAGATAAATAAGAAAATATTTAGGAAAAAAACAACTTTAAAGTAAGCATTGTAAAAATAATTTTTAACTTTAAAGTATTTCTTTAAAAAAAAACACAGTTTCCTTTTTAATGCATAGTGAGTGATTTCCTGTATATTTGTATGTGTACCATGTACCTGCTGGTAGAGGTCAGTCAGAAGAGGGCATCTGATTCCATGGATGGTTGTGAGCCACCATGTGGATTCTGGGAGTTAAACTCAGGTCCTCTGTAAGAGTAGAAAGTGCCCTTAGTCACGGAGCCAACTCTCCAGCCCCAAAAAGTTAATTGTGAATGACACCTAATAAGGACTAGAGGCTTGTAGAGTTGAGTTCCTTAACATTATGGATTCATGTTTCTTTTCCTAAACAGGATGAAGACATTGTATACACCAGGAAATTAAGAACAAGAAGTCACCAGAATAGTGAAAATAAGTAGCAGAGTCATTTAAGAAGGAAAAATAAATTGGCTTGGTGATAAATTCCAGTTTGATTCTCGCCTCCAGCGTGAAGGTGAACTGTAAATAATACTGCCCATCTTTAAGGAAGGAAGCTACTTTCCTGGTTATGCTTTCTTCAAACTCCCATGGACATCATGAAGGGGATCACCAGGGATCTTAGCAACCACAGTTTAAAAATTGGGGGGAGGGTTGTGAGCAGGCAGAAGTGTTGCTGTCTGTCCTGCAAAATAAAGCTTTAAAGTTCACTGCCTCCTATGACTTCTCTGAGTATCTGTATCTGCTTGGGTCTGCCATCACAATGAGGAAGGCAGGAGAACTATCCTGTGTCCCTCCACTCCTCAGATTATCAGGAGACATTAGTTGTCAGTGGAGTTTACACAGGATAACTGTAAATTGGAGCATTTAGTTTGTAGACTATGACAATCATGCATTTGTACAAGGATGGCTGAGCCTGTCTTCAGGGGCATAGGTTGCTTTGTTAAATACTGGGTACCTGTGCTTTTCATTAGGCATCTGTACTGAACAAGCTATCTGCCTTGCCTCTGGAACCATTGCTGTTGGATAGTATGCCTCTCTAGTCTTCCAACCTAGCTTCTGCTTTTATCTTGTGCTTTTTCTGACCTTTTGCCTGACAGCGTGTGGATTTCACCCAGCCACCCTAAGTGTTTGGTATGAGATGAGTGTCTCCCAAGTCTCACTTTAGCCCTAGACCCCTTTCCATTTCAGACCATAGTCATACTTTATATATCTCCTATGCATTTGCATATACAATTTTGTATTTTTTGCCCTGTACACTAGTCCCCTTTCTCTGTTTTCCCAACAGAAGCACATCTTCGTTCCAGATACCTTTGCCCTGTGCTATCCTTGGGCCTCCCTTGACAAATGGGGGTGATGATGACAGGCTGGACAGAGAGGCTGTCTCCTACAGAGAGGCTGTTTCCTGTTCAGCCATTGCCTTAGCCTGTTCAGGTCTCTATCTTTCTGTCTGAGATGCAGCTGGGTATATAGGTGTATGGTAGTTAAAACAGGATTTAGCACTTTGGTTGAGTCTGAGAGTTCCGCCATTTCATCTACCACAGGAAGTCTGTAACCATGAGGAATGGCAACCTATTATTCCTAAGGGGACAGTTGAGCTGGCAAAGGGGATTGTGCAGAGCAGAAGGCACAGGAAGAAAGCCCTTTTTACCTGTTAGCTGGTTTGAGGCATGAAAGTACCTTTAATTGACTTGAATCCTAAAGTCAAAGTCTTTGAAGTAAAAGGAACATTGGCCATGAATTGTTCTGATGTATAATTAGAAATGTCACATGAATATGGGAAGTAGCAGTCAAGATGATGCATGCTGGTTGAATGGAGTATGATGAACGTAAACATGTTCAGTTAATGGAAGTCCTCCCTGAGCTATGCTGGCATATTTTCTCACTGAGGTAACTAGGATTACAAGAGATTAAAGGATTGTCTTTAGGACTACAGGTGCTGGTTTAAGAAAAGCTTTCAGGACTCGGGAGATGGCTCAGTGAATCACCTGCTGTGTGCAAGCAAGAAGGTAAGAGCAGATTCGCAGAACCTGTGTAAGCGATGTCCATGATGACATAGGCCTGTAACCCCAGCATCGGGATATGGGGTCAGGTGAGTCCTTGGGCTTTGCTAGCCAGCCGTCCTAGTCAAAATGGATCCAGTAAGAGACCATCTCTTTTGAAACAAGAATGATGTCCCAAATCAGCCTTAGGCCTCCACGCTTGTCTGCATGCATGGGTGGATGGGTGCACCTGGTATGTATACACACACAAGTGTGCAGCCACCACATAAACTAGAAAGCTCATTTGAGGGTAACACCAGTGTTCAAGACATTCATAGAACACATCCTCCATTTACCTTTTTGAGATCATCTGAGAAAGACCCATTCTCTTGTATCTTTAAGAACAAATATCCACCCATTCCTCAAATAAACATTTAGCTACAGTCTCCAGCAATGTCAGTTTCCTAGCAGAAACTATGATGGGAGATTCCCAAGACAGGGACACTACTGTTTTGCCTCTTAGAGCCTAAATGATTCTCCCTGTTTTGTTGTCATTTGCTCCTAACCCTTCCACAACCAACTGCTGTTTTTCCTGCTAGAATTTGGCCCACTTGTGCACTTCATCAGTATTCCTTGGAATGTTGAGCTTTGCTCCAGAGAAGCTTCCAGGCCTCTGTACTCCAGCTACTGTCCCAAGGTGGGGCTGGTCCTTAGTTGGCAACAGAATCTAGGTACATAGTGAGAATCATCATCCCAAGTGCAATTTTCAGCCCCTTTACTAAAACTGATTTAGTTTAATAGTGTGTATTCCTGGCCTGCCTGCTCATTGCAATTGAACAGGGCAAGTCTTTTTCATGTTGACAGGCAGTTTTCTGGTCTATAGAATGATGTTCTCAGTGCTCCATCTCACGGTAGTCAGGAGGATTAACAGAACAGAATACTGCTTGTAGCTCCTATAGGCTTAGGCTAGGGCTTGAAGTCAAGCTAATTATCTTCAGAGGACCTATGCCTCCAAGCTGAGGGGTTTCTCCATGGAGAAGGTAGAAGGAGGATTTGGAATACCAAAGTCTCAGCATTAGGTCCTATGCAAATGGCCCAAACAGGGAAACTCTTGGACTAGGAATAACACAAAAGATTGTACCTCAGTGATTCTGGTCCCTTAATCACAGCTCACTTGTTAGCCCCAGCCAGTTATCAGTTGTCCCAGTAAGGGTTTTATTTCAATGGTGCTGGACTATTGTTAATCATAGCTTACTTTTCAGTCCCAGCTGACCAGAAACCACATAGTCTTAATTCAAAATATACAGACAGCCCTGGCAGTGCTTGCTCATCTCAAACCTGACAATCCTGGTCTCCATCTTCCACACTTCTCAGCATTATCTTTCAAGTTCCCTAAGGATAGTTTCATTCCAAGCACTCAATGGTTTTTCTAGACCCAAATTCCAAATGCTTCTACAACTCCCCTTCTTTAACAACATTGTTAGATCTGCCACAGCAATGGTATGTGTTCCAGGTGCCAATGACTGTATTAGTTACTTTTGTGTTTCTGTGCTAAAATAACCGAGCCAAAAGCAACTTAAGGAAGAGTTTATTTGGCTTACATTTCCAGAGGGATAGAAATCCATCATGGCAGGAAAGGGTGATGGCAAAAGCAGGCATGACTGCAGAAGCAGGAAGCTGAAAGCATGGTTCTTCAAACGCAAAGCAGAGAGTGCACTAGACATGGTGGGGAGATTTTAATCTCAAAGCCCATCCCTAGTGATGTACTTCCTCCAGCCAGGCTGTAACTCCTAGACCTCAAAGAGTGTCAGCAACTGGAGATCAAGTGTTCAAATGCCTAAGACTATGGGGAACTTTATTATTCAAACCACCATACAAGGTGTTAGCTAGGAGCATCACAACACTTTAAAGGTGTTTAGAGCTTCCCTTCACCCTCACACCTGGACCCTGGTTATGTGGATTCCCCCTTGCATTCCCCGCCCCAGTCTTTTCCTATTTAATGTTCTCTGTGTTCCGCCCACCTCACCACCCCTCATTTGTCATCACCTATTTTTATCCTCTCTTGGTCTCATTTTTTAGGTTTTATTCACATCTGCTCCCCCACCCCACCTATATACTTTACAGGCTATATGTGGGTGTGGGTGTGGGTGTGTTTTATCTTTCTAAATTTGAGTCACTTAATAGACTTTCCAAGTCCATCAATTTTCCTCAAAATTTCATTTTTCTTTCCAACTGAATAAAATGGCAATGTACGTGTGTACCACATTTTCTTCATTCACCTGCGGATGGGATCTAAGTTAGTTCAATTTTTTTTTTCTTTGCTTTTTTTTTTTTAATAGAGCAGCCGAAGGGATTCTATCCAGCCCAAGCATGACAAACATGGCTCTGGCAGGTTTTGTCCTTCTCGCTGATTTCCTCTGCCTTGCTAAAAACATTCCTAAAGATAGTCACCAAGGTCCATTCCCTTATTTGGCCACTTCCTCCTCCTGAAGAAGATTACTAAAGTCTAGCTATCCAAGTATTGAAGTCTAGCAATCAAAAGCCCCCCTTTGGCTTACCTAATTAACATGCTCAGTCAAAATTAAACATATCATCCTAACATGGGAGTTCCTATTTTACCTTTATAAACTGCCATTTTCCTATGGGCCATGTCTGTCTCCTCTCTATCCAGAGGCAGTCCTTTTTTATCATCTCCCTCTCTAACAAAGACCCATTGCCCTTGTCCTTTTCCCCTTCTCATCTTATATCTCCTGTGTTTGTTTTATATTCCCTGTCCTCTGTCCTTCTGGGGCAAATAAATCTCCTATATGCTGAGAACTTGGTCATGGGGTGCCTTGAGCCAATTCTGGTCCCTTCAGCAGCAAGTGGATGGATGAGCAAGTGACTGTAGTAGATTATCACTTGTCTATTATTTTGAAGGAGGTAGATTGTAAATTGATTAGTTTAATATGGTACTTTATTTGAGACAGCATCTCACTATATAGCCTTGGATATATAGCCTTGGATAGCATTGGATATATAGCCTTGGCTGGCCTTGAACTCTCAGAGAAGCCTACCTGCGTCTGCCTCTTGAGTGCTGTGATTAAAGGCATGTGATATCAAACTGGGACAGTGCTGTACTGTATTATTATTATTACTACTATTAAAAATGGCAGAGTGAGATCCTGTTCAGAAACACTAGCATCCACAAATATAAGAGGCAGTGGTTAAAATACAAGCCCCAGCAACCACCACAACTGATGAGGTTTGTTTAGAAAGAAATTAAATATTTTCAAATCATCAAATATAGCAGAGCCATCTGATTTATTAAATCAACACAACAGGAACAGGATAATTTTTTTTTTTTCTATTTGGTTTTTGGAGACAGGGTTTCTTTGTGTAGCACCTTGGCTGCCCTGGACTCACTTTGTAGACCAGGCTGGCCTTGAACTCACAGAGATCTGCCTGTCTCTGCCTCCCTGAGTACTGGGATTACAGGTGTGCACCACCATGTCCACCAACAGGTGAATCTCTTAAGTTCCATATTGGGCCCAGGAGGCTAGTGAGTGTGGGAGGCTGGGAATACGTACTAGTTGCTTCTTTCACTGTTGTTACAGAATATCTGACAGGAAGTAACTTAAGGATGGAGGTTTGACTGAAAGTTTGTGGGGATACAGTCTATCATAATGAGGAAGGCATGCTACAGGAGCAGAAGGCTGGCTGGTCACTGCATCCATAGTCCACAAGTGGGGCTGGACTACAAAACCTTAAGGCCCACCTCCAGTGACCTGTTCCTCTTTAAGGTCCCACAATTTTCCCAAATAGTATCATTAGCTAGAGACCAAGTATTCAAATTACGAGCCACTGGGGAACATTTTACACTGACTACAACAAAGGGAAAGTGGAAGGGGAGTTAAGAGATGGAGGGGGTGGTCATCAGAGGCGTAAAGAACACAGGAGAGCTGGCGAGGGAGGTGAGATAGCTTCAGATTTGGAGAAAGGCCGTTAGAAGAACTTTCGGATCCCATTTGGGTATGGGCATCAAAGATTGCTGCCATGTTCCCCAGAGATCTGGGGCTCCACTTCCAGGTTCAGAGTCCTCCCTGAACCCTGACAGAACAATTCTTTGCACAGGGATTCAACATCTGTGCCTCTTGCATGACATCTGACTTTCATTGAGCACTGAGACCTAATGCCTCTCTGGCTCCATGCTCACCCCTCACCCCCTGGAAGCTGCTTCTGGGCCAAGTCAGACCTAAGTTTTAAAAGCCTGAAGTAGCATTGGATAGTTCAGTTGGTAAAGTATTTGGCTTGTGAGCATGAGGACCAAGTTCAGTCCCCAAAACCCACCTAAAGAAGATGGGTGTGGTGTCACACTTGTGTAATCCCAGCACTGGAGAAGTTCAGATAAGAAAGTCCCTGGTGCCCACTGGCAGGCCAGTCTTGGCCTAACTGGTCAGCCCCAGGCCACTGAAAGACCCTCTCTTCAAGAAGGTGGGCAGCCTTCCTAAGGATGACACCCAAGGTTGTCCTCCGGCCTCCATGTATACCTGTGAACTCATGCACCTGAACACACACACACACACACGCACATACACACACACACACACACATGCTTGCATGCACACGTTCACTTAAAAATAAGACTCTAAGTTGTCTTTGTAAGCCCAATGCATGTCTTTGGTGCTGAGGTTCTAACCTGGGGACTCACACATGCTAAGTACTGTTCCATGGAGCTACACTCCCAGCCCTCAATGCATGCCATGTCTAAAGGGACTTGGACTTCAGATGTAGGAATGAAGTTCAGAAACACGAGGAGAGAAGCACAGGTCCAGGCTGGTAGTCAGAGGTTTATTCTTGCATCAGGATGTTTTTGATGTTTTTGATGTGTTTGCATGTCCCAAGAATTCAGCGACATTCACTGGCATTATAATCAGAGCAAGATCAAATGGTAAATGTAATCAAAAGAATATATGAGAGTTGGAACCATGACACATACACATATTATAAAGATTGCACATATAAATTAAACATGGCTTGGTTACAAACAAAGATATATCAGTAAATACACATGAGAAAACCCAACGGCATGTCCATGTCTCCAGATGCTGAAACACAGGTATCAGGCTCATTTTAAAAAGTTTTTAAAAAACACATAAAAATACCTTGGAAAACACAGGTGTGCTTTCCTCACTCATCTAGCACATGGAGAGAGAAAGTAAAGCAAGTCACACAGTGACCAAGGGACGCACCTGATCAGAACACCGGGCTCTGATTGCTATTTGGCATTTGAACGCAACCGCATGCAACAGAGAAACAAGAAGGTCATTGTTGGTGCCAGGCTGTTCCCTGGTGTATACTCGACCCCCTAGGACTTAGAGAAGGACATGCCAGGTACACAGAGAAGATGCCGAGGCCTCACTTAGGATGTCCCTTGTACACAGAGGCTCTGCACCTTAAGGAGGCTGAATTTGGCGGTGGCATTAGCCAAGAGACTGCAGGGATTGGCCCTTCCACAGAAGGACAGGTGCTGCCCCGACTGTGCCCATAGGAGGGTGGCTTCTGTTTCTCTCTGGAATGGGACAAGCTGTTTAGAAACAGGTAGGGCTCCTGCAGGGGAACCTGGGGGCAGCCCCAAGGTGAGGAAAAAAACACAAATAGAATATTTTCTAGACATCCTGAAAAAAGATCTACCCTAAAGGCATTCCTTGATACAAGAAATGCCTGGGATTCTGAGGGCCAGTCACTAAAGTGGGGTGCCAAGGTGCAAGGCCAAACTTTGGCTTGGGACCAGTGTGAGGTCAACCTTCGTTCTAATGGGCTTGGGGTGTGGAACAGAAGAATACTGCCCTCTCTCCGGCTTTAGTCAAAGCAAGGCTCTGGGCTTGCGGTCTAACACGGAGGCAAATGAGACCACTGGCCAGGGAGAGCTCCCTCCCCTCCGGTCTTCTGCCTGTGCGTCACTTGCATGGAGAAGGGGAGGCCCTACTCAGTGCAGGCAGCCAGCCCTGCCAGCTGATGGTGATGACAGCGGCGTCACTGTCAGCTTTCACCCTGCATGCTGGGTGCCAGCTGTACCTCTGGATGGAACTCAGACCTGTGGGGTGTGAGGTGACCTGATCACCTGTATGTGGCAGCGGCAGACCCTGGGGTTGTTCCCCGTACAGACTATAACGAACAAGGACAAGCAAGCATGATCAATCCTCCACAAGGGTGGCAAATGAGACCTTTATATTTTCCTCTCTCTTTTTAAAAAGTAAAAAAATAAAAAAGTACCCAAACTGTGTATGTTCAAAGCCTTCGGTGAGTTAGAACAGATGTCTTTTTTTTTTTTTTTTTTTTTTTTACATTGTGCTCATTTGCTAGATACCTAAATGCCATAAGAAGATCATTTTATTGAAGTCAACGTTTCCAAGTTTATCCTTCCCACTCTCCAGCCTTCCCCTAACCTACTCCCCTCAGGCAGTGTGACTGTCACTGTTACCTGTGCTTGGAGGCCTCAGCAGCATTTCAGTTAGACTTCAAGTTAGGATTTTTTTTCCTCTCTCATTTTTTTTTTAATTAAACACCAAGGAGTGGGACATTAAAAAAAAAAAAACTGTACAAATCTAGATCTTAAGATTTCTTTTCTTACAAACCATCTTAACTTTTTACAAAGAAAACCTGATATACCAAAACACCTGTCAGAAAATCTGCAGTGCAATTATTTATAATCATTCTACTGGTTCTACCTGTGCGCACCTGTGTGTGTGTGTGTGTGTGTGTGTGTGTAAGACACTTTACCTCAATGTGGAAGGAAGGGAAGTAGTTTTGCATTGAGCCTGTAGGACCAATGAAGGTCTGCACAGGCAGCAGGGCCAGTGGCAGGAGCCCTGGAAATGAGGCTGGCTGGCTTCTGAGCCAGGCCTGCAGGCAGACGGACAGCAAGTGGTTCCTGAAATACCGCTCTGATGGTTAGCTTGGGGATACTGGGAGCCTGCGGGAAGAGGCGATGTGGTACCAGCACCTCTTTTTATCAAGTCTACAGTGGCGGAGACACGGTCTCTCATAAGTAAATGCCTTCTAAAACTCACAGGAAAGCCATCATCTACCCTTGTGGGTCTGAGACCTGGATTCAGGTTGTAAAATCTCTCTCTCTCTCTCTCATATATGTATGTATGTTTTTGAGACAGAGTCTCACTGTAGCCCAGGCTGGCCTGATCTGAAGCCAGTCCTCATGCCTTGGCCCCTCAAGTGGTAGAAGTACGGCCCACTCCTAGTTCCTTCTCTGAGCTCTCAAATGTAAGGATGAGCCACATGGCCGACATCAAGGACGTCCCCAAAGCCCCCGTGTACACTGTTTGCCACACCTGATGCCCTGAGTGCCCTGTTGGTGGGAACAGGAAATGTGACCTGACTCTGAGTCCTCAACCATTTCCTCCACAAGGGGCTTCATGTTTAGTGTCTTTCATAAACGTTTGACATATCAGGAATGTTTATAGATGCATGACATGTGAAGTCACATGATGTAGATCTAACAGAATCAAGATACTGACTGATATCAGCAGACATACTAACTTCCCAGATAGCATTTGACCTTAACACAGCGTTCCAATTTTTTAAAAAGGTCATTTACACTTTAATAACTTTACAGCAGGTAGCCTATGGAACATAACAAAATATATACAAAGGAATTAGGAAGGATATTAATGTCCACTAGGAAATAAATTAACCTGACTTTTTCTCTTTTTTTACAAAATATACTGACCATTAAATTAAAAAATATCTTAAGGCAGGACTCTTCATTTGAAATTAGCATAATCAGAAAATATATCAATAAAATCTTGTACCACTTTGTAGCAGAATTCATATTGCTCCTGAAAAGAGAACGAGAGTGAATTAATAAGTTGCTTCACACATACTTGATGCATTTAATCAGAAGATGCATTTAAAGCCCAGATGTCAGTCAGTCTGTTGATGCATCTAAGTCTGCGGCTCCTCCCCACATGTCAGCTTCTGTTACATAATGTGGTTTTTAGGCACAAGGCATGTTCTAAACCAAGTTGTTTTTCCATGTGGAAAACGTCAAGTTTCAGTTTCAAACTGGTGGGTGTTCAGAATGGTCTGAGGAAAACAACTGTGCTTTTCATATTGACATTGGGAAATGGTTTGTGTATGCGTGTGCCTACCTGTGCACGTGTTTGCTTGCATGTGGAGAGCACAGGCTAGCCTCAGGTGGCCTTCCTTAGGTGCTGTCTGCCTGGTTTTTGAGACAGGGTCTCTCACTGGCCTAGAAACTGCCAAGTAGACTAGGCTGGCCACCCCTGAGGCCCAGGAAGCCTGTCTCTACCTCCTGAGTGTGGGATTACAAGCACATGCCATCATTTTGGGGGGTGGGGCTCAGGGGGAATGAAACTCAGGTCCTTATGATTTCAAGGCAAGTTTGTTTGTTTGTTTGTTTGTTTTTTAATCAATACAGCTATCTCTTAAGGCTAGGAAACAAGTGTGAGAGAGAGAGAAAGAAAAAAAGAGAGAGAGGTTTGCTGTTTTGAGGCAGAGTTTCATTTTGTCCATCCTAGCCTGTAGCCTAAGAGCCCAGGATGACCTCGAACTCTTGATCTTCCTGTCTCAACCTCCCAAGTATTAGGATTATAGTCATGTGCCACCACACCTGTATGAAAACTATTTCTTTTTTTTTTTTAAGTAAGTTTTCTTCTTTAAAAAAGATTTATTTATTTATACAATAGTCTGCCAGAAGAGGGCACCAGATCTCATTATAGATGGTTATGGGCCACTATGTGGTTGCTGGGAATTGAACTCAGGACCTTTGGAAGAACAGTCAGGGCTCTTAACCTCTGAGCTACTTCTCCAGCCCTGAAAACTATTTCTAACGTGGTAAAAAAAGAAAAAAAATACAGTTCTATCACTGAAAAGTAAAATTCACACTGCCTAATTTATAACTGTTAAGTGAAAATCATTTTTTTTTCAAGACAGGGATTCTCTGTGTAGCCTTGGCTGTCCTGGACTCACTTTGTAGACCAGGCTAGCCTCAAACTCACAGAGATCTGCCTGGGTCTGCCTCCTTGAGTGCTGGGATTACAGGCAGGCACCACCGCGCCCTGCTCAAATGGTTTTATATTAATACAAATGTGGTAAGAATTTGCAAGACTAAATGTTTTAGGTTCATGTGAGCCTTCCCATTATCACCACTGAAGCCCATCTATTGCACATGGATCAGGCTGCCTGTCACGAGTGTGGAGAATAAGCAGGTGGGAGAGACGTCCTAACTAGGCGACTCTGGGGACGATGGCTGAGAACCACCTTTAAAGCTGCCCTTGCTCCTTCAGCGTGAAACATTCTGGAATTCAGTGCAGACTCTCTCCCTCTAACCAGGAAGTGTGAGCTGGGTAATTAAAGAGAATATGTAGAGCAACTGGACGTTAGGAGAACCCCTCCTCCCTCCCCAGGCAAGACCTGTGGAGGGTCCTTGAGGTTGATGAGACCTTCCAAAGACAGACAGACCAAACGCAACAGTGGAACGTGAAAAATAACAAGCAGCAGGGCTTTGAACTTCAGGGCTGCTTTTGAACTCAGCAACAGTGTTTTCAAATGGAAATAAAGTTGGTACAGGAGCTCCTCCTCTTGCTGGGAAGACTCTCCCTAAGACTGGGGGAAAGCTTTCCTGTGAAAAGGCTGCAGCTGGGTCAGGCTCCCTGGGACACACATGCTCCCAATCCTCCCTTCCACCGGGTGTTCCTTTAATGAAACCAACATCAAATACATGAAACAATTCTCGACTCTTCTGGAACATCAGATCATTTGGATTCTTACCAGGGTTTGCACCATGTGTGGTCTCTGAAGCCTTAAGCTCTTCACAGCTTGAAACACATCCAGGAGTCCCTCGGCTTTCACTCGTTCCAAAATGTTGCTGAGTGCGATGAATGTACCTGTCCGCCCTGCTCCCGCGCTGCCGAAGAAACACACTTAGTGAAGGCAAAGCAAACGAGAATGTATGCCAGAAGAGGCCCGGGCACTTACCTTTGACCCCTAGGACAGAACTGAAGTACCAGTCCCCGAAAGGCACCCATGTCTGACTGTATCTTTGTGTGTGGTGCTCTGTGTGTTCATATGTGTGGACGTGTGTGTGCGTGTGTGTGTGTGTGTGTGTGTGTGTGTGTGTGCGTGTGCAGCAGTCAGGGTCTATGTTTGTCGCCTTTCCCGATTGCTTTCTGCCTTCTGTTGGAACAGGCTCTTTCACTGAACCTAGAGCTCCCTGTCTTGGCTAGGCTGGCTGGTTACCAGTCCCCCAGGGGCCAGTGAATGTATGATGGATCTGCAACAGCCCTGCATCCCTGGCTGGGGCAGGCAGGACCTGCTCAGCCACTGCAGATCCATCATACATTCACTTTTCTTCATATGTGTCTTGCCATGGGCCTGGCTAGTTGCTGTCTCCAGGGATATCAGGATTGTGCCTCTACTTTGAGTCTGCATGAGGGCATTGAATGTTGGAACGGGTTGACTTTAGAGGTCCCAGACTGGGGTCTGGGGGAGATGGCTCAGCTGGTAGAGAACTTGCTGTGCAGGCATGAGGACTCAACTTCAATTCCCAGATGCCACAAAAGAAAAGTTGGGTACAGTGGTGAGTGCTTGTCCTTCCAGGGCTGGAGAGGTGAGGATAGGAGGATCCCTGGGGCTCCCTGGCTACCCGACATAGCTTAATCAGCCAATAGGAAACCAAGTGAAGGTAGTTTACTCTTGAGCTTGACCTCTCACCTTCATGGATTATATTTATGTAATCTCATGTTCTCTCTCTCTCTCTCTCTCTCTCTCTCTCTCTCTCTCTCTCTCACACACACACACACACACACAGAGATACCAGTCTGGGCCTGTCCATGGAGTCTTCATATTCCATCCTGTGCTTTTGTTCAGCTGTATTGAATATTTCCCAAGCCAGGAGAGAGAGAGAGAGAGAGAGAGAGAGAGAGAGGCTGGGAAATGGGGGAGGGAGGAGCAGCCAGAGCTGCCTTTCAGAGTGAACACAGTTAAGCTGAAATCCAGGAGGACAGCTGAGGGCTTTGCCTGGGAGGTTTGTGTGACTTCAACAGGATTTAGTACCCTGTGTCCATTCTGACTCCTCCCAAATGTGCATTCTGCATACATAATGAAGTGGCTTTTGGGCCCATCTATGCAGTTGTGTGTGCTGCGTGTATGAAAGAAAAGGTGACACACAGTCTAGGGAAACAACCCCCCTGACAGGAGCTGTCCAGTTCTCCCTAGCTGCAGAGTTGGTCTCTAGAAACCTCTCTAGACCTGCTTTTGCTGGCCCGCCAGGACAGGGCGCCAGGGGGGGTGGGGCAGCTCACCTGCAGTGCACGGTGATGGGGTGGTTGCCTGTCTGCTGCTGCTGTTTCTGCACCGCTGCAATGAGGTCAATCATGCCTTTGCCTTCAGCGGGGATCCCAACCTCAGGCCAGCCATGGAAATGGAATTGTCTCACCACGCGGACCTGCTCTTCCTGGCGAGCCAGGGGCTGCAGATGGGAGAGAAGTCTCAGAGGACACTGGCCCACACCCTGCCAGGGATCTGCCTGCCTGCCTGCCCATGGGCCCTTCTGGGTCCTGAAGCCCCTCCTAGGCAGTCCAGGAGCCTGGCTAGCAGTGACGATGCTTCCATCTGGACCCCCACTAGTCTCTGTGCAGCACTTTCAGCAGCCCTGGTGGCTTCATTCAAAAATAAGACTCACATTTCTAGGGAAGTTAAGTTTTGAGTCTCCATCAGGGGCTGGAGACAAGCTCAGGGCTTAGGCTGCTGCTGGCCCTGACAGAACAAGTATCTGAACAGGCACAGCCTTCCTCAACTGACTGTGACCCAGCTTGTGAGCTCTCCTACTGCTCACTAAACAAGACAGCCCAGGCTTTGTGTGGCCAGAGCTCAAGGTCCAGTGTGGATAGAGACAGTGAGAGGTTTTGGAAGGGTCTCGGGAGGCCTCTCTACCTTCTTTTAGGTCCGTTGTTCCTCCAGGCCCAGCTAAGTTTACTCTCCCCAGAAGCCAGGGCCCAGTAAATCAACCTCTCTGTCATCAAACTCAGCTTCTAATGGGAGGCAGGTGGCTGTGGAAGCTGGGATTTCATAGGATGTTTCCTACCGGATGCTCCACTGGCCCCACATGGTTCCCTGGGACTTAGGAACAGATGAATGGTGACATGTGCAGGGCCCACCGGGGTATAGCAGTAAGCACGTCCCAAGGGATGCTGCTGCCTGAGGCCCACTGGAGTCTGGGGGAATCACAGCAACGATACCTGTTTGAAAGTAACCAGGAAGTCTCGTACGCTGATGGCTTCAGACAGGGTGTCACTCTTTATTTCTATAGTTATATCTCCATAAGTCACCGAGCCCTCTGTTGGCCAATACTGGTAGCATTTATCCTAGGGGAACAAAATAAAAAAAAGTTTTGTAGTTGCCGCTTATGGCACAGAATTGATGTCAGGCCATTTCATGTGATCAGAAACTCTTGTGTAAATATGGATATGAATCCTGTTAGTTCCTGTTGACTATGAAGAGAGAACAAGTCTGGAATTTTGGTACATGAGAGAAAGGAGGATTTATTCAATGGACAGAACTGGAAGATGAGGTTGAGTCCCAGACTCATTGGGCAAGGCTGACATGAACGCTGCAGCTTCTCCTAGAGACGGGCCAGTAAACTTCCCTATATTGAAATCTTGATCTTGAATATTCTTTTACTTTGAAGAACACTTTTTGTGTCTTACTAAGTAAAAAGGCATGAAATACTGCCATTCCGGAGACAAAAGACAGAAATATCAGATTGCAATGAAGTTCACTTTCCTTCATCAACAACCATCATCCAAAGAGTGAAAAGTAAAACACTCGCCAAATGAAACTGTAGCTCAGGATAAACACCCGCCATATGTAAAGAACTCTTAAACCACTAAGCAGACAAACAGCCCAGTAGAAAAACAAGCACTTTTTTGCTTGGTTGTTAATCTTCATGGACACTCTGACAGGATTTAGAATCCCACCAGACACACACCTACATTGCTCTGAGCATTTCCAGAGAAATTCAGCTGACAGGGGACACACACTTTGACTATGGGTGGGATCATTCCATAGGCTGGAGTCTTGGAGTGAATAATCAGGAGGAAGGGATGAGATCACATTTGCCCAGTTGTCTGCTTCCTGATTGTGGATGCAATCTGACCAGATGCCCTCTGCTCTGGCTGCCATGATAGACTCACTCCCCAATCAAAAGCCAAGAGAAATCTGTCCTTCCTGATGCTGCTTTTGTCAGTATTTTATCACAGCAGTAAGAAAAGTTATAATATAGATAAAAAAGCAAGGAAAAACATCTTATATAAGACCATCCATAAACAGGTCAGGGATTGAGAGAAAAGCCAATCATAGCTAAATTAATATCTACGTAGCAAGGATTAGGGTGCTAGAGAACTCCAGGCACTCCCAGAACACTAGATGTGCCGGTGAATGTGTCTTATTCATTGCTGATACTCACTTTAAAAACCACTTTATACAGCAACTGGGAATGCTCACTCTTGGACAAACTCTGCAATCTGACATTTTTGTCTACTTGGCACCTGCTAACCTTACCTGGCAGCAAGAAACATGTCATCAGTGTTTTTCAAGCAGCAGGACAGAATTGGCCCCACTGTTAAGGATGGAAGAAGGGCTGAATAAATGGATCAGGACGCATGTTCCTTGTAGCAAAATACAACAAAAAAGGGACTGAATCATAATCACAGACACAAGCATAAAAAAAAAAAGCAAAAAAAATAAATAAATAAACACTTTAATTTAAAAGCAAACTTCCCCAATAATAAAATTTTCCATTTTAACATTCCTTAAAAAAAAAAGAGAGAGAGAGCAAAGGCACCTTCTCTCTGTAAAAATCAAGCCCCAGAAGATTGCACACAATGAAAATCTTTATATAAAGTTTTAACACAAGCAAAATAAAATAACTGTTTCTTTAGGTATGAATATATGATTTTTTAAAAAAAAGATTTATTTATTTTATATGTATGGGTATTTTGCCTGCGTGCACACACAGATGCAGACATACCATACACACTCACACATATGTGGGTGCTTGCGTGTGTATGTATTCATTTGCATGTCTATATGTATGTGTGCACCCTGTGCAGTCCTGTTGACATGGATTCCCTGGAACTGAAGTTACCAACTATTGTGAGCTGCCATGTGGGTCCTGGGAATTGAACCTGGATCCTCTAGGGGAGCACTCAGTGCTCCTAACCACTCAGCTATTTCTCTCGCCACAAATATATATGATTTAAAGGTGTCGCCTTTGCAGGGTTTCTAACCTGACCTTAAACTTACCACATAGGAGAGTAGAGAGAAACTCTCCAAACTTCTTGCTGCCACTTCCCAAGTTGCTGGATTTATAGGTAAGTACACTATGTCCAGCTGATTTAATGGTTCCCCCCCAAAAGCAAATATCATATCACTAGGATAGTTTTCATCAAGAGGACAAAACACCAATGTTGTCAAGAATGTGGAGGATTCAGAGCCCTTGAACACTGCAATTGGGAATGTAAATGGGGGTGGGGACGCGGAGGCTAAGAGCAGGCACTGCTTTTTCCGAGGGACCAGATTTGGGTTCTCAGCACCCATATCAGTTAGTTGCCCCAAACTCTAGCTCTTGGAGATTGGACCCCTCTTGGCGTGCATCTGCAGTCTTATGAACACCCCTCCAAGTACATAAGTTTTAAAATCTTGAAAATATTCAATGATCGGAGTTTATGATATTGTTACATTATAAGGAAGTGATTTCACTTCTCGGTATGAAGATGAGAAACACATAAGTTATTCCTGTGCAAAAATTTGAGCACAGCAGCAATATCCCAACATCCCCAAAGTGGAAATAGCACAAGTGTCCATCAACCGATGAACTGGAAAGTACAAGTTGTACAACCATTCACACGATTGAATACTATCAACAACAACAACAACAAAGAATGAAGTCAGTATTGAGTGCTTAGCCCTAAATGGAACATCTGTATCAGGCATGCCCCGGTCCCAGCCTCACCAAGGCTCAGCGAAGGAAAAGGAAGATCACAGAAGCTGAGGCAGAAAGAAGGTAAGAGCCAGAAGATGGAGAGAAGAGCTGTGAAAAGCTGCCTTCTGGACATGGTATGGCCATTCCTTTCATGAACTCACTGCAGCTGTAGTTACTGGCTCTAGACCAACTCAAGAGCTAAGAACAAGTCAGCATCCCGGCAGCATTAGTAGAAACTCAGTGGGTTACAAGAAAAAGTGAAGGAGAGGAGAGGAGAGGGGGCCATGCTGGGGTTACCTGAGGTAAGAGGAAAGGGGAGTTAGGGGAGATATGGTCAGGATACATTGTTCACATAGGTTAAATTGTTAAAGAAAAGGTTGAAATCCAGATATATGCTCCTAACGGGTGAGCATTGATGACATGATGGAAAACTCATTCCTGAAACAGCATGTACTGTGCACCTGTATTTACACCTGTGTCCACGAAAGCAAGTCAGTAGAGTCAGGAAGCTGGCCAGTGGTTCTCAGGGGCTGGGAAAGGAGGGATGGGCTGACTGTTAATGGAATAGGTTTTCTTTCTGAGGTAGTAGCCACAATTTGGAGTTAGACAGAAGTCATGTTTGCCCAACGCTATGAACACATTAAACCCAAGCAAACGCTTCCCTTAAAAAGATGGATTGTGAGGCTGGAGAGACTGCCCAGCAGTTAAGAGCACTGGCTGCTCATCCAGAGGTTCTGAGTTCAATTTCCAGCGCCCACATGATGGTATATGATCATGGGATCTGATGCCCTCCTTTGGCATGTAGGTGTACTTGCAGCTGAGCACTCATACATTAAAAATAAAATAAAATAAAAAGATGATTGCTTCCTGAGTGAAGCATAGATTGGTAAAGTTTTGTTTTGTTTTGTTTAAGCAAAGAAACAAAAACATAGATTCAGAGCTGTGGCCGTGTTTTGGGGTAGCATTTAGAGTGATGGTTGGTACTGGTAAAGCATGTTTTCCTGAGTTTGTAACATGATTAAGCCACAGGTGGATCTCTGGGAAAATGGAAATGCTAAAGTCATTTAACTTCATTAGGACAACAACCAGGTGCATAGATCAATATCTGTCTTTATGTCTTGCAAACAGTAAGTAAATGCCTTTTGCATTCACAGGCTGTGACCTTGACATTTAAAAAAATGGCGAAACATGGTAGTGGTGGGGGATGGTGGGAAGGATAGAAGGACCTGGAGGGGAGAAGAGCTCCATAAAAAGACCAACAGAGCAAACTAACCAGGGCCCAGAGGGGCTTACAGAGACTGAAGCACCTACCAAGGACCATGCGTGGACTGGACCTAGGCCCCCTACACAGATGTAGCCAATGGGCAGCTTGGGCTTCCTATAGGTTCCCTAGTAAGAGGAGCAGGGGCTGCCTTTGACATGGACTCTGTTTCCTGCTTTTTGATCACTTCTCCCTGGTGGGACTGTCTTGTCAGGCCACAGGGGAAGAGGATGTGCTCGGTCCTATTTCGACTTGGTGTGTTGGGGTGAGTTGGTAAGGGGGAGTCCCCTTTTCTGAGGAGTAGGGGAGAGGGAATAGGAGGAAGAAGTAGAGAGTGTGGGAGTGGGAGGAGAGGAAAGACAATTAAGATGAGAAGTGAATAAATAAATTAATTAAAAAATTAAATTGTTTACTTGATCTTGAAAAAAATTGCTGGAACATCAAGGCAAGTGTAACAATATGTAAGGCAGAGACTATTTATGGCTAATCACCCTTCCACCCATCCGAAGCATAGATGAAGTAAGATTTCAGTCATTCCAGCCTCCCTCTCTCTGTCCCTCCCTCCTCACACCTCCAGCATTGGTCTCACCCATGTGTTCGAAGGCCCCACATTGCTGAGGCATCCTACCATTAGCCACGCCCCTCACCCAGATGGCTGCTGCCCCAGCCTGCTCACCTGCTCCCGCTCCTGCACCTCCGTCAGCATGACGATCGTGTGTGACTTCCACTCCCACACCATCCTCCAGAAGTCCTCAACTGTGTGAGCCAGGGGCCCCTGAGTGGCCATGAAGTAGTCCTTCTGTCTGTAGCCCTTGAGGGAAGCAGAGGTTAGGGCCTTCAGAGGCCATGGTCACGTCTAAGGGGTATCAGAGGCTCGAGGTTAACAGGAAAGCACTCAGTGGCAGATTCTAATGGGTTCTCTATGTCACAGCCATATTCCTGTCAAGGAGGGGCAGAAGGCCTGAGTGTGAAGCTAGGGTAGTGTCTCCATCAGTTCCCTCCAGTGAAGGCAGAAAGTACTAACAGGCATCTGGCCACAAAGTTCTTGTCTTTGTCTCTGCCAACTCCATTGTTCATGGAGACTGGCCCCAGCTGTGTGCCCAGACAGATAATTACCCAGTCTATGTGGGCTCAAGTCACAGACATCCCTCACGAGCCAACACGTGCTCTGCACATATAACCGTGGTGTCATGCATATGCAAATGCAGAGAAGCTGTCCATTAAGAGTCACGTGGAAATAGGCAATTATTCAGCGGTGAGACTAGGCCCCATTTCTAAAGCTCATTATTTATTGATTTTTGTATTTTAAAGATTTATTGCCTTTTAACTTTATGTGTATGAGTGTTTGCCTGCATGTCTGTCTGTCTGTATGCATGTAATCCATGTACATGCCTAGTACCAGTGGAGACTGAATGAGAGCTTCAGCTCCCTTGAAATTGGAGTTACAGTCATTGCGAGTGCTGCAAACCAAACCCAGGCAGGCCCTCTGCGAGAGCAGCCAGCGCTTTTAGCTGATGTCATCTTTCCCTTATTTTTAATTTTTGAAGCAGGCTGTCATGTAGTCCAGGCTGGCCTCAAAGTCCCTATGTAGCTGAGGTTAGCTTTGTACCCCTAATATTTGTGTTCTGTTTCCCAAATGTTGGGATTGTAAGTGTGTACCACCACAGTTGGCTCACTATTTATTATTTTAAAAGCAACTAATTCTGCCAAGAAAATAGTGTATCAATGTTTCTTATTGCGTGTAAAGCATGGTTCCAGCGCAAGGGCTTATATTCACACAGGAGGAGTCACGTGTTGCACAGAACACACATAGTGCTGAAATACATACATCTATGAAGGATGCGTTGATATAGTCTGTGTACTCTTGACCTCTTTTCATGGACAGGATTACCCGGTTGAAGTCATCTGCAAGATAGGAGTTCCTTTGTTAGTGTAGGAATGACCCTGCCTCATAGCCTGATGCTCAAGATTAACTGTCAACTTGATAAAATCTAGACTTACAGGACAGACTGGCACGGGATTACCTTGGCTACAATAACTGATGTGGACACCCATATTAATTGTGGGTAGGACCATTCTCTGGCCAGGGACTCCTAGACTGTGTACAATAAAGAAAGTGAGCTGAGCATCAGCGCACATTCATTTCTCTGAGCTTCCTGACTTTCTTTGGGATGTGACAGCTGCTTTAAGCTCCTTCTGCTTTGACCTCCTCACCTCAATGGAGTGTGCCCTTGACCTATGAGCCAGTATAAACTCTGCCTTAGGTTGTTTTTGTCAGGGTATTTCATCACAGCAACAGGAAAAAACTAGCATTAATAAATAGATAATATTTATTATTTATCAGTAATAATAAATATATTTATTTGTTATAAATATTTTAGATTTAATTATATTGTTTATTAATAATTGAATGTTAAAATAATTAATAATTGTTAGGCCAACTATTAGGGAAGTCTCCGTTATCAAATAGGTTCATAAAATGGTTTGGGGAAGTCCTGAAAACAATCCAATTATAATTTTCATTTTTCAAGAATCAGTATAATGTGTCCCCAGCTATAAGCATTAAAAATACTGCATTCAGAAATAAGGGGAGGATGGCCAGATAGGAGCTGCAGCTGCCAGGGGAGACAGAGGCCCAGAGAACCAAGGGATGGAGGCCGGGGGCAGATTGCCTAGCCTCCCGGACTGCTGTGCTTCCAGAGAAGAGGTGGGCATGGTGAGAAGGTCTGTTTACAGACATTTGGTGGTGGTAAGCAGTCGCTGAGCCTTCGCTCCATGGAGGGCATGAAGAGATGCTGTGTGTGATGTGAATTGCCCTCTCTTTAAGCCAGTGCTTCCACGTGCTTCTCTAGTTGTGTCTGAGCAGATTTCTCTATGTTCCTCACTGGTGGGGGCAGATGTGGTTCCCTGCTCACTGTTGGTCTTTGCCTTAGTCATCCTGATCCTCGCTGGCAGGCCAGCATTGACTCTACCCCAGGCCAATGTTATGTGGTCCCCAAGGCAAGCTGAATTCACTTTTGGTCTGATTTAGTCCTTGGACATGTGCATGCTTTTGGCCATGCTACTCAGTCTCCCCTGTGTAAGAGGGGCAGGGCCTTCAGGCACCAGAGAGCTCCAGTGAGGCTCATGTCTGAGACAAGCTTTTTAGGTTCCAAGAAACCCTCCCTATAGAGAAGCTCTGGAGTCTTGCCTTTGAGCTATATTCTAGGCACCACCTGAGATCCTCATGGGTCTGTGGAGATGGCCCAGAGTGGCCCTGGAGGGTTCTTTCTTCATAGCATTGGACAACAGCTCCCAAGAGCCCAGAACTGGGTCCAGAGGCACTTGCTTCCTAGCATGATGTACAAAGGTCCAGGACCTGAGGCCTGCATGCCCACTGCCTTACATGGGATGATCTGGATAACACGGGCCTTCTTCATGTTGGCAGGCAGGTTGCCCGTCCTCATGTTCTCCTTCATGATTCGCACGTTGGTCAGCTTCTGCAGCCAAGAAATGCAGTTAGGGCAAAGCATGACAGGCCTACAGCAGGAGTCCTGCTCAGAAGTTTGTCTCCATCTCCAGATGTCACCTCGACCTTGGGAGATTAAGTAATCCCATATGTAGCTTGCACTGTCATTCTTCCCCAGGAGCTTACAACCAGACACCCATGTCCTGACTTTCTGAGGCCAAGAGGCTTCATATAAGTAGACACCATTTTTCCCCCTGGCTCCTCAGCCCATCCACCCCAGGGCATGGAAGCTGCCTCGTAGCACTCACCCTAAACTCCTCCTCCAGCCCAATCTTGTCAAAATGGGTGGCTGTGCCATGTAGCGTCTGTAGATGCCTCTCTAGGGACGACACGTCCAGCTCTGTGTCCCCATAGAGGTAGTACTCCAGTAAGGCCTGGTAGATGAATGTATATTGAACCTGCCGGGAGACAGGAGGAGCTGCTCAAGCCTGCCCTGGGCCCAGAGGAGTACATGCTTCTCCTTCTGCTGCTGAGACAAGGCTGAGGGGCAAGAGCCCATTAGTGATCACTTAGACTGGTCATGCAGGGTGAGAGAAGATGACAGTAATGGCCATGGCCTTCTGAGGGTACCAGGGGCCATGCCAGCTGCTTAGAATCACCCCCACGGCATACTAAGAATCAGGATGTCCAGTCTTTGAGACTCCCATGGAAGGTAATGCCAGAATGAGTGTCACACCAGGTCTGACACTGGGCATGCTCATAGCCTGTGGCCACCTGCCTACGAAAACCAGACCTAGAAGCTGGGCCTGGTGTTTCAGGTTTAAAATTCCCATTATTTGATAGGCTGAGACATGAAGATGATGAATTTAAGAGCTGCCCAAGCTACAGAGCCAGGTCTAGGTTAGGCTGGCTGTTCAGTGAGACTGAAATTCAGGAAGTAAAAGGATGGCTGAAAGAATAGCTTAATGGTACAGTGAATTCACATGACTGACCGGGGTACAATACCTGGTACTGTAAAAACAAAAGAAAACAGCAACAAAACACGGCAAAGGGTGGTGGTGGTGGGGGGTGGCTGTGGAGTAGGCAAAGGCACCTGAGTGCTTTGTGATGCTTAGGCCAGGGCAGGGAGAGGTGCCACTCACATCCGTCTGGACCATCTGGGGGCGCTGATTGCGGATTCTAGACACAAACTCAAAGACGTCAACCTTCTGTTCTGAGTGTATCATGTCCATCATGGCGTCGATCACAATGAAGGTACCTGTCCGGCCCACGCCCGCACTTCAGGGAAGAGAAAGATGCCACCTCATGAGTCACATTCTCCTGAAGCAAATGGCAAGCCCAAGCCTGGGAAGATGCTTGAATCTGGGGAAATTGGACAGAGCCTAGGGCAAAATTAAGTAGGGTGCAACTTGGAAGAATGTGGAGCAAATCTATGCAAGGCCACCAGAGGGCACTGCTGCCCCAGTCATTTATCTCAGGACTGGAGACATTGAAGGCTTGTGTGTTTGTGTGTGTGTGTGTGTTGTTCATTATTCCTACCCCCAAATACTGTCTTTTTATTACCATTAATGTGGATGTTTCCTGGTATGGGAATTGAATAATCCTAGGGGTGCCTGATAGAGCAGTGGGCAAGGTCAGTGGACCTGCCCAGAGCTCCCATGCCAGCCATCAGCTTGGATCTGTCAGCCTTTAAGAGTTTTACACACTGAGTTTCTGTTCAGGCACCACTAGGGCAGGCGCACCAGGGAAACTTCATGCCCACCAGCCCTAGCTATGCCCACCCGACCTCTGTTCCACCTGCCACCTCTCCCGTTGTGGCTGCCCCTCTCTGACATACCTGCAGTGGACCACAATGGGCCCAGCGTGTGAAGGGTTGAGTGTCTTCACTTTCTTCAGGAACTTCAACATCCCGATGGGAGTGAAGGGCACTCCAAAGTCAGGCCAGCTGGTGAAGTGCAGCTGTGAGACCAGCCGTGGGGCTTTGCAGCTCTCTGGAAGTTGCTGCGCGGGATAAGGAAGAGGTGAGAGGCGGGAGGTGGGAAGACCTTACTTGGACCACTCAGCATCTTCTGAAGGACAGTTCGGGCTCATGCCAGGTCAGTGTCCACAAAGACAGAGAACCCCGGATTGCAGGGAGGTTGCGCCAGGTGTGACTGTGCACAGCTCTTGGCTGGCAAAGGGCTTACACATTCAGTTATGCCTAGGCCAGCATCCCCAGTAGCCATACATCCCAAAAGCTGCTCCTAATGCTCAGGTACTCCAGCTCTGAAGTGGGCCTGCCTGCTCTGTCTGCACAGACCCACCTGTATAGCAGTATACCATATACTGAGCCATCACCAGTATACTCTTTAAGTCTCAAAGAGTCAGTGTGGGAAGGAAAGATGAAGGGTCAGCCTACACACTGGGACCTCCAGACCCTTCCTCACGGATTCTCCAAGGCTTTACAGCAAGGTTCCTTTCCCTGATGGTGGAAATTGACAATACTAGTGTGTTTAAAAGTGTGTACGGGCATGTGTGTGCGTGTGTGTGTGTGTATGTTTGTGTGTGTATTCTGTGTATCTAGGAGAGAGGCCAGCAAGGGATAATCATTTTGGGATGCCTCAGGCCCATGCTCTGCCACTGAGCCACTCCTCCAGCCCATCCTTTCAAGATGTTCTGCAGTGGCTTCTAGAAACTTCTTTTAGATTTTGCAACCTAATCACATCAATTTCTCTACACTTGATTCCTAAGAAAATGGCCTGTCTCTGAAGTCTTCATTTCATCTGCCTTGTTCACTAGCATTTTAACTGAAGGCTGCCTTGAAATGAGCATGAAAAAAGACTGGCGAGATTTTGAACATAATTTTGACACCACTATAAAACAATTCCGTCATGGGACATGGTGGCTCATGTCTTTAATACCAACATGTGGGAGGCAGAGGCAGGTGAATGTCTGTAAGTCTGAAGCTAGCATGCTCTACACACAAAGTTTCAGGCCAGCATGGACCATATAGTGAGAGCCTGTCTCCAACAGACAAACAATTTTGTTTCACAATACTAACGTGTAAAAGATATACAGGACTATGGTTATCGCTCGGTGGCAAAATGCCTGTTCGGTGCAGTAGGGAAGGCTCCCCATTGAACCTCCTACCTCTCCAGCTGGCTCACCCACCTCCTGGGGAGGCCCAGTACAGTTTCTGGGAGTCAAAGCGCCCAGCACTCTGAAGATTCTGGTCCTTGGTCCACTAACCCTGTCCCAGTCTGTCACATGGCCCAGCCCTGCAACCACAGCCTCTGTGGGTGTTCCTGCCATGCTAAGAGTGGGTTGAGGTGGGGCAGCCCTTCACACTGTAAAGCTCCCCAACCTAGCCCCCACGAAGCCAACATGCAACATTTATATTTACCGGATGGATGCAGAACTTGCGGATGGTGTAGTCCACGAGGACCACGCAATCCTCTACGCACACCCGGATGTTCCCATAGGTCCAGCAGCCCTGGTCTGGCCAGTACTGGTAGCACTTCTCCTGTGAGGATTGAAAAAAGAGTCGAGACACCGTCCAACACATGGCCTTCCACCATCTGCATATGGCAAGTGACATGTAGGCAGTCAGCACAGCATGAGCTGGAAGGATCATCCTGAGTGAGTGTGTCTTTTATTAAGGGGGAAGAAGAAGTCTTGCAGGTGGCAGATGTGGCTGTGGACCAACCAGAGTGGTTTTTGGGTTGGACACAGTAACATCTCATTTGTTCACTCCCTCAACTCTCACATCCTAACACCAGCCATGGCTGACCACAACCAGCTCCCTTTAGTGCTAGGGAGCCTGACCCCAACAACCCTCTGGCTGGAGCGAGCCTCACCCTGACACTCCCAGAATGCCCTCCTTAGACATCTCCCTAGGCCCCAACACTCTATTTCCTTCTGGTCAGGCCACTCATGTTTGCCACCCTGCAGTCATTCACCGGCTCACACTAACATGAAAACCCATGAGGTGCTCCAGGCCACAGAGGCAAGCACCAGGCACCCTTTGTTTCCTGAAGCCCCAGCACCTTATGGGCAGTAAGCTGTTCATCAGCACAGCATGTGAGTGATTGGAGGATCACCCCAGGAGGGAAAAGAGCCCCACAATCTTCCTTGGAGAAAGCTCTACAACTTAGCAAGCCTCCCAGGCACCTCGAAGCTTGTCCCAGAAATGGCCAGGGAAAGACATGTCAAACTGGCCAGTTCTCCAAGATCGATATGCTCCTGAAGTAAAAAGTGCCTGGCACCATGAAGACCAGCAACCTTGTCATAAACAAACGGTCACGGGGCATTGAAATGTGGCCTGTAGTGACAAGCAAGTGGTCTGCTTTGAGAGAGTCTTGGTCCCCCTAGGGCTCAGGGGACTCTCAAGCAATTCTTCCCTGAAAGACTGGAAAAGATAGGAACAGGGGTCTCCAGCTCCCGGAGCTCTCAGCTGTCCTACCCTCAGGTCACAAGCAGCCAGCTGGGTTTTGTAATGTTCTGCCCAGGATGTGGACATCAAGAAGGCCACAGTGCAAGCCACCAAGGAAAAGGAACTCTCTTGAGAAACGACTCCCTCTGAGATAGTGGAAGCTCAGGGCACCAGCAGGCAGCCCCTGTCACTAGGGTAGAAAAATACAGCAGGAGGCTCTCAGGGACATTGAGACAGATGAGACCACCAGGGCACAGGGGGACAGAGGTCTTCCGCCTCTGTTTAGGGCTACAGTGCTGGCCTTTTGAAGAAGCAACCCTTCAGAGACCTGGACTCTGTGGACAGTTGGCCACCGAGACCTGAGGACTCTGGTGAGGGTCAGCCTCCCTGTCTACAGAAGGGGGTGTGTCCTCCTCACAGGGCAGGAAACCTATGTCGAGAGCTCCACTGTAGTTTTGTTCCTGTCACTCTTTCCATTGGTGACAAGGGATAACAAGGGTAGGAGACATGTAGTAAGATGTAACAATCTCCATTCTGTCCCCACTGCTGTCTCACCAACAAAACAAAGCCCCGGCCTCTCTCTGATAGATCAGAAAGCTGAAAGTAGCCACTGGAGGCTTTTTGCTGTGTTGCTGGGCATGGACCCACCAGTTAGGTACCCTGGAGACAAGAGAGGTTTGCTTCCTATTAGATAAGACTCGTACTTGTTCTCCTGTACACCCCAAGGCTGGGTGTTCCATTCCAATCCTGCATGGCCTGCCCATGTCCTCAGCACACCGGGTACTGTCAGGACTAGGCTAGTGCCACTCCTGGGGAAGAGTCCTAGGTGGGGGCCCAGCAGGCAGATACCTTCTGCCAAACTGGGCCTTCATGCCAGAATATGCTGGGTCTCCCCACCTGAGGAAGCTTCTTTCAGGCTTCCAATTCCCTTCCCCTTCGCTTGGAAAAATATTTCTGTGCAAACAACAGGTCTGCCAGGGCTTCAAGTCTCCCAGGTCCCTGCTGTTCTCCCCTCCAGCCTGCATCTGGGCCGGTTCCTGGCACTGAGAATGGAGACACAGGCCCAGCAGATGCTACCAGGTTCTGCTTTGAGGGGAGACCAGGAGACTACCTCACATTCATAGCTGATGCTTCAAATCCAGCAGGTCACGCATGCCTCCCGAGAGCCTCTTGTTGGAGACCATCTGTCTAGTCTGGGAAAGACCTGTGCGATGGTGTTCATCGGCAGCCAGGCCCACCACATGAGAAACACACCAGTGCCTCTCTCTCTAAAATCTGTCCCTCCCCAATAGAGTTAGAGCCATGGGTAGCCATGACGATCCTCAGACAAAGAATGGAACCTCTGACTCCTTATGTTGGAGCAGGACAGTAAGGTATAGAAATATGGAGAACTGACTCCAAGAGAGGGTGCTGGAAGGTCTGAGTGCTGTTTGCCTCCCACTGATGGAAGAGAGGTACCTGGGTGGAGGAAGTGGTGAAGGCCTCCCTGGTGAGTGCGGGCCCACAGGGAAAGGTTTGCAGGGCTTGTGCGGGGAGCTTACCTCCTTCCTTTCCTTCAGGTTCGTCAACATGACGATGGTGGCTGACTTTTGCTCCCAGATCATCCTCCAGAAGTCATTCACCGTCTCCTGCTTAGGGCCTGTGTGCAGAGGGGAGGCTCAGGGTCAAGGCATCTAAACTTAGCCCATGAATTCAGCCGTGGAAGGGTCATATCTTCCCCAGGCACATGACAGTCCCCACACCAAGGAAGCTTTCTGTGAAGCTGTGCAGAATCTGGGTGGTTATGCTGATTCACAGGCAAAAAAGAAGGCGATGGGAGTGTGGCTACTGGAAGACATTTGAGGGCCATCTCTGCTTTACATTCCTAGCATCTGGCTGGGGGCCACGACATCCTTAAGTCCCTCAGAGTCACCAGTCCCTCCAGAACTGCTGAATTGGAATGCAAGTGTGTGTGAGTGTGTGTGCTTGCGGGGAGGAGAGGAAGAGGGAAAAGGAGGGAGGAGAGGGGAAGGAGGGAGGGATATCAGGAAGAAGAAACTCCTCTGCCCTTTGTCCACTTCCTGTGTGAATATGACACAGTGCCTAGGGGCACAACAACTATTTTGCAATCCTAAGGCTAAAAGTTCCATGCTAAGGAGAAGGGAACAGGGGAAAATCCTCCCTTGACAAATCCATCAATGATGGGTTTTTCTCTCATTTACAGAGGGCAAGGTCAGTCCTCTATGTGTAAAAGCGCTTCTACTTTTAGGAAATCTGGCCAAGGAGGAGGGGGAAGGAAAGCCTTGTTTCAGCTTCACTGATCCCTGGGGAATTGCGGCGCCCTCCTGGAAAGACAGCCTCTGGCAGACTAGAAGGTTCTGTAAGCACAGGGGGGAACTAGGTATAAGGGTAAGGACATGATTTTGTCACTGAGACATGGTGGCTATGACCTTGATCTAACAGCTCCTCTATTCTGTTCCCCCCACCCCCCAAAGTAGGAAGCTTTTGGAGCACAGAGAGCTGAGAGAAGCCAAAGCCAGGTACTAAATGTGAGTCTCGGGGTGGCAGAAGGGCAACTGGGGGCGCCTTGTGTGTGCTGTCGAAGTCACAGGGGGGGCACACAATGTGGGCACACAATGTCTGACACAGTGACACAGCGGCGCACACACATGAAAAGCCAGCATGAATTGTTGGTATGGTTAGCAGTTAGATATTCAAATCACTTTATAAAAATACTACGCAAACATGAACTACATAGAAAAGCTTACCTTGAGCCGCTATGAATTTGTTCTTTTCTTTGTAACCCTAGAAAAGCGAAGTTAGACCTATAATTATGCAGGGCTGTTTTTGGAGGGGGAGAGAAGTCACCCCAGAAAACAGAAGAAATAATATAAAAACAAAACCCACCAGCAGCCTCAGAGATAACAGACAGCATTTCCCTGCAGCCTTCACTACTGTACTTTTGTTTTACTGTGGGTTTTCCTACACACCCACAAGCAGACTCACCAATGTTTATAATTTTAATTGAGCTCACATGTGTAAATCTTTTTATTTCTTTATACGTTATGTAAGAAATTTAAAACTTTAAGTGATATTTCAAAGATAACTAAGTTAATTCCGTGGCCCATTGTGGTTTGTTTAGTTAGATGCATAAGGAACGGGATTGAATATCTCTAGTGTCTACTTGGATCATCATCCTCTCTGGATCTTTTATCTCTGTGAATTCCCAGCAGATGAAAGCTGGGACAGCACACTGGCCTCATGCTCTCGATGTGACCACAGGTACTCAGGATCGGAGAGGAACCACACCATGGTTCAGACTCAGCCCCTGAATGTTCCTCATAAGCTTCATGCCAGGCCAGGGGAAAGGAAATAAGTCAACTTACATCTATGTAGGAAGCATTAATGTAGTCAGAGCAGGGCATTCCATCCACCTGGCTCAAAATCACTCTGGAATGATCATCTGGGAAAAGCAAGCAAACCCATGGAGTTAGGACAAGGAGTCAGTCACTGGAGGATATTACCAGGTCTCCCCTTGAGCTCAGGTGGGGTGCCCCAGTCTTGCTGAGCTCTGCAGGGTCCACTTGTGCCTCAGCTAGGGGAGGGGGGGTGGCCCCATGATCACAGAGGCAGAACAGCAGGGAGTATGGTGACCATGTTCTCACAATGGTCCCAAACATTAGCAATTGCAGGTGTACATAGGGGACCCCAGGATGAAGAAGTAGGTCTTTTCATTCCGGCTCTCCAGAGGACATGTGGCTAAAGGGTTTGGGACTCTGAACTCTAATAGCCATTCTTCACCACCTGCCCCAGTGCTGGAAGGGAGCTGGGCTTGTGATGTTGGAGCATCGACTATGGAAAGTCCAGCTGGCTCCACTGGATGTTTTCCAGAGTGGGAGGACAGCCAGTGGGGTGTGTGTGTGTGTGTGTGTGTGTGTGTGTCTGTGTCTGTGTATTTTTGGTGGTGTAGGCTGTATGTTACATACATGTGACATGTGTTAAGGATATGTTGTAGGGTATATATGCATGTGGTGGGGTGTGAATGGTGCTGTGAATTATATGTGCTGTATGTGTGTGGTATATGCACTTTTGTGGCATTGTGTGCTATGCATGTGTGGTATGCACATATGCTTCAGTGCTGAGTCTACGCTGTGTGGTAGGATATGCTGATTGTGAGTTTCTGTGTGGCGTATGGTACAATGTTGTGTGTGTTGTATGTGTTATCAGGTGTGTGGTGTGACATGTGTTAGAGTGGGATACTTGTGTGTTGTATGTGGTGTGGGGTGTTGCAGTGATGTACTGTGCACCAGGGCTGTGGTCAGGGCTGCACTACCTCTGTGGGCCCTGTTCCTCCACAGGCCTTTCATCCACAGAAATGGCTGCTCTATCACCACATCAGTGGGTTGTGAAGAAGATGACTGAAGTGGAAGGGCCTGTAGTCCCAGCACTCAGGAGGTCAAGGCAGGAGGATTGAGAGGTCCAGGCCAGCTTGTGCTTTGGCTTTGGCCCTCTTTACATGGAAGGCTGTTGGCTGGACTATGTGTGTTGCCTCAGACTCCCTGACTGAGTGTCATTGCTGGGCAGCATCTGTTCTACTCTGGGCAGAGAAGGGGATGGCACAACTCTGAAGACAACTACTAGCCCATGCATTCTAGGAGGGATGCCAAACCTCAAATCCACTACCACAGGTCTACATACTCTTGCTCAGGGGCTCAAGGCTGGAAACAGCGGTGGCATTGACTATGTCACACTGCCTGAAGAGAATTCAGAATCACTTACACCAAAGGACAGTTATAGAAACACAGGGCAAAAAAAAATAGTGTCTGCATAGACTTGGGCATTCACAGCTTCTAAGTGCTTCCTGCTTCTACATTCTGAAGAGTTACACTTTGCTGTCAAAACATCACTTTCTAAAATTACCAGCCTTGGCACCCTTTCAGCAGAGTGCCATCAGGCTGCTGGCCACAGACAGTCCCCACAGGCACGCATCCCGCCTTTTGGACAAAGAGCACTTGAGTCCATCTTCAAGATTCCCAGGCCAAGGTGAACACTGCACTTCAGCCCAGGACCAGCTTTGAGTCTGGCCTGGTTTGGGGCAGACCAGGAGAGACAGGGGACTCTTGAAGCTGTGGGCATTGGATCCTCCCATCCTGTCTTGTTGATCCTAATCTGACTACATGAGATTCACCCACTGTCTTGCCCCAGCAGGACCAGCCACTCCACATAACCACACATGTCTCTCCATAACTGGATGCCACAATTGGTCCTTTCTACAGCAACGCGTTTCCATGCTGTAAAAAACTCAAACAATAAACAGCTCACTGTGCCTGTGAAACACACAGTGTACCCACAGTCTTAGATAGCTGTCAACACCCCAAGTCAGGTATTACTCCTAGGTAGGGAGGGGTGAGACTGGCCCTCACTCAGGGGCAGGAGCAGAGAAACTTACGGGAAACATTGAGCAGGACTATTTACAGCGCTGCCACACTTTCAGACAGGGAAAGGGCAGGCGGATCTTCTTCTGTAAACCAACCCAGACTTGTGAGTAACAGAAAGAAGAATTTGGAAGGCACCAAGCCTATGCTAGAGTGATCCTTTGGTGAGTTGAGCTCCCGACCTATGCCTGTTGCAGGGGCTTGGCTATGAATTCCATTTCCTTGAGCTCTCACCAGGAATTAGCACTCCCTTCTATCTGTCTCTCTCTGTCTCTCCCTCTCTATTTTCTCCCCTTTCATTCTTTCTGTCCTCATTTCTTTTTTGGAGGGGGAGTTGAGACAGGGTTTCTCTGTGTAGCCTTGGCTGTCATAGACTTGCTTTGTAGATCAGGCTGGCCTCCAACTCACAGAGATCAACCTGCCTCTGTCTCCTAGAGTGCTGGGGTTACAAGCTTGTACCACCCAACTTGTCCTCATTTCTTTTTGTCGTCCCCCCCCCCCGAAACAGGGAATTGTTTGCCAGGTGGTCCAGGCTGGCCTCTTCCCCAAGAGCCTCCTGCTTCAGCCTGGAGGCTGCTGGTACTATAGGTGTGAATTGCCACCTCTGGCTCAGAAATATTCTTGGTGAAGACCCTGAGTGTTAGCCTTAGGAGATAGTGGGTTTAATGATAAAGAGAGAAAGTTAGGTAAGACGGCCTGAAGCCTGAATGTCTTTGCCCCTACGGTGGCCCTAAACACATGAGGGCCAATCCAAAGCAAATTTAACTCATCAAGAGAGGTGACATATTAAGTTAGAAGTCAAAATGGACCTTTGAGTATCTCAATTATCAGTTGACACAACTGCTCTGAAGAGCCCAGACATCCTCTTGCTGTGGCCTTTCTCTCCTTAGAGCTACTGAAATATAGCATGGGTATCCCTCTTCCTTGGATCTCCACAACCCATCCAGCAGTAAAGCTACTGTATCCAGAGTCTAAAGTTGGGACGAGCCACCAGCATAGTATGGCTGCACCACCACCCCCTCCTCCCTTGGCCCTGACAAACAAAACCCCTTTAGTTAATTTCTCTAGCTTTAGTTGGATCCTAGGATCATGGTGGGCTTTACAAAAAATAGTTTATAAACCTTGTGCATGGGCATTGGAGAAGAGCTACTTCCAGAAAGTGCTCGAAATCTAGGATCATATATTGGACAGGTCATAGCTCCATGTACACGCAGCACACTGAAGCTGACTGAGGCCAGTTTCCTGACCCTACCAGGCATTCCTCAAGAGCAAAGGTCTCTGGGAACAGTAGGAGGCTTCAGTCCAGGGTTCAAGCTGGAGCTCAGCAGAGCTGTTTGAGGCTGCTTTCCGGAAGGTTTGAAGGGTAAAGCTGTGGTTGGGAGGATAGTAGGGTGTACTCGGTAGGGTGCTGCAAACCTGGGCCAGCTTTTGAAAAGGCAGCTGGGAACATGCAGGATTTGTCCCGGAGGTGAGACAGGCACCTCAGGCCCAGGCTCAGCCAGCTTCAGCAGGTCATGAGATGCCCAGACCACAGCAGCCTTCACCCTAGCACTGACACGTCCTTGGCAAACATACTCTCCACCTCATTGTGATATTTGCTGCTGAGGTTAAAACTGGCTTTGTTAAGCCTCTCCTCAAAGGTGCCAAACCTGTGTGGGCTTTTTATTTTTACCATTTTGATCTTCCGTTCTGGACCATAGAGCACATTGGGGATTTGTTCCTGGTACCCTCAAACAGTAAATATGAAGGAAAGTCCTGCTCAAGGTTACCAACAGGTCTAGACTGGTATCCAGGATGGAATCTGGCAGGAAAGATCTTGCCAATTGGTTCCCAAGTCTGTGGGGAGCTTTCCTGCCCAGCTTGCTTCCTGTCTGCTTAGCAACCAGAGTGGTCAGCAGCAGCAAAGATGCCACAGCCCATCACAGGGAAAGAGGCACTCAGAGAGAGTGTGGCCTTGGATTACCTGGGACAAGCAGTGAGCAGTTACAACACAGTCACCAGTAAGCTGCAAAGCTGCACCACATATAACCCACATGTTACAGATCATGCAAAAGCAAACAATTAACAACAACAAAACAACAAAAACAATAAAATTCTTACTGGGAAGAATGTTGGGATATCTGTTTTTTTCTCTGTTTTCTTCTTTATTTGCTAGTTCAAAAGTTCCTTGTATATGTCCAGATGGCAATGACTGGAAGGAAATGGATAGTAGAGTGAACACTGATGAATCTAAACCTAGGTTCCCTTCAGCTTCACTACCAAGCCCAGGAATGAAAACTACCATCTGTCTAGCATCCTCGTCTTTGTTCAGGCCCCATGCTAGACACTGGGCAGGCAATGGATGACACACAGATATGGACTTTCTTCAGGATCTCTTGTGTAGATCCTAGACTTTGTGAGGTCAGGAACTCATATCACAGCCCATCATGCCCCAGTCCACACAAGTTTTGGCCCAGGCAGGGACTCTTTGGGTACAGGTGAACTGATCCCAAAGGAGTTCTGATGCATGAGACAGAGGAGAAAAGATTACCAAGAAGAGAGTGCTGAGACCTCTGGCCTGAGCTGCAGGAGAGGAACAGGATCCTGGAGAGTGGTTACAGACACAGCCCTCGTCATACTCAGGACTCAGCTCTCTCTGTGCACTGGGTCAGGTCAGCAGGATCAGGCCTAGAAGCTTCCTAGAAATGCTGATTCTCCCAAGCCCCACCATAGAATCAGCCCCAGTCCATAGAATCAGCAACTGTATCATCAGGACCTTTAGGAGTTCGGGGCTCTTTTTGGCTCAAGATGTACACCCCCCCCAATGATCACTGTACCCCAGTCTAGGAGTGTCAGTATGAAAGAGAAGTTTCACTTTGCCACAATGCTAAAACTGTCAAGTATCTGGGAGTAAAGTGGACATGTGGGTTTCTACTTCCTCCTACCATGGAAGCCACCTGCCTCTGATTTTTGGTTGCCTCCAGCTGTTTGCCATTTTGCTTGTTTCTGGGCTCTTCTTTGTACTCAGTTGAGCCAGGACAAAGAGTACCTTGAACTTCAAATCATAACCTTTAACATTAAACCTAGCTCTTGTTGGACCTAGGACCACTGGACTCTAAGAAAAAAGTGTTATTATTTACTGAGTGTGATGTATCAGGCACAGAGAAAAGACATGGCTCATCTATCTGCCTTCCTCACTACTACCATATGAGCAGATGACATGGGACCAAACTCAAGGAAAAGTGGTTGAAAATGTGCTCAGTGTCACTTGGCTGAAGAGATAAACCCTGGTAGTGTGGCCTGAAGGGACTCCCTTGCTTAAGCATGGGGAAACATGAGGGCTTTCCTGTTCTCTGTGTCCCACTCCAAGTCCCTGGGAGTTAGATTCTGGCTTCATGGAGCAGCTTCAGATGGCAGCCATGATATCCTGAGCTTGCTCTCAGTTGTGTCAGGACCCTGGCCTCCTTCTAGGAGGCAGGAGCTTCTTCAGTGGCCAACTCAGTTCCTCAGAAGGGCTTATATTAGAATGCTGTACAGCACCCCTCTCTAGGGTCTGGGGCCACCCCATCTCATAGCCCCAGGCAGAGGCTTTTCCTGGGCCAGTATGGAGAAACCAATCAGAGATCAGCACAACAATGCCAGTGAGGAGTTCTTGACTTTGTCTGCACTGATGAATACCCGTGTTCCTTGAACTCTGACTCAGCGCCAGAGATGGCTTGACACAATCTCCTGGGCCCTGACTGGACAATGAATTTGTGGTGACATCCCAGGACCTTCTCAAAAAACCTTCAGCCCTGGACACAAAAACCAGGCATGTTAATGTCACAGTGGCATATGAAACGGTTTAGCTGGCAAACTCCACAGACTGAGCAGATCCTACGGGCTCAGCGATAACTGCATGACAGTCACAACTGCCAACAGAAATTATTAATTGTAACACACAAGCTCCTCCTCTGCAGAGGGCTCAGGACAGATGAACCTGCCCCATTGGAGAGATGGGCTGCATGAGAACTCTTCAGTGTGTATGTGAGTTTTCTGCATGCTTGAAACTGCTCTAAAGATAAAGCTTATTAAAAACAACAAACTGGATGAAACAAAGGACAAAGAGGTAGCTACCATGTGATGGCCAATGGGGCCCAAGTGCAAAGAAGACTCAGGCTCTGACCACCTCTTCACAGCTGTGTAGCTTTGGGATATGGGACACAGAGATAAAGTGGTACACCCTGCCCTCCCAGACTCCTGGAGCATAGGACTAGAAGTGGTGGGTAGAACCAGGCACAGTTCTCTGTGTCCTCCATACATAACCCAAAATCCAAGCAAGCCCAACAGTTGCCTGCACAAATTGGGCCCAGCAGGTTTTCCTGCTGTCAGGCTACCCAGGACCTTAGGTTTCTCAGTTGCTTGGTAGCCCCAGGAAAGTAAGAGTGTCTAGGGATGGCTAGCCCACAGTGACTCTCTGTGTGCTCTCTAGGAGCTCTGGTTTGTTTCACCAAGACCCAGAGGACTGCTCTTGTTAGTGTTGTGCTGGGACTTCTGTCTACAAACAACTCCCTTCGTATGTGTTTCTACAGTATTTGCCATGGGGTAGGACCCAGGCCTGTGGCTTGACACAGTTTGCTGGGACAGAGCTGGGGAAGATGCTCACCAGAGAGGAGTTTTCACTACACAGGGGCCTCCTTTTCTGGGACTGAATTCAGGAACTGGAAAAAGATTTGCCCTTTCCAGGAGAAACTAGCAGATACCATCTAATCCGAATGTTAGCTGTTACTTCTTTGTTTAGGTGTTATCAAAGTCCTATAGGGCAGGGGAAATCCCTACCTCACAGAAGAGGAAACTGAGGCAGAGGTTAAGCACACAGCCCAAGTCTTCTGGGCCAGGAGAAGTACTAAGACAATGAAGCTCTAGCATTCATCCCACTGTGCTAATGGTCCCAGAGCCAAACCCCTTCTTATCCTCAAGTTCATGTTCACTCGAACTTGGGCTTGGCAGTACAGGATTGGCCAAACACATATTAGACTTATCCAGATCCCTTTTGTGACCTTTGGGCAAGGTCAGCAGACCAGAGAGAGGGGGTCCTAGGAAAACAGAGCCTAAATGTGTTCTCTGAGAACTGGAGTGGCTGATCTGGGCAGGAGAGGGATGTCACAGGAGTGTGTCCTTGGAAGGGTCAGCTCCTCCATGGAGAGAGGAGCTAGGTTGCATGTACTCGACCCCACACTGTATCTCTAGCTGACTGTTGCCAGGCAGTGGGACTCTGCACAACTGAGGGTTACACAGAGGCAAGCTGGGAGGGACAGGAGAAGGAAGCATTTGTTCTGGGTATAAAATTTATGGGGGCCCCAGAAAAGGTCAAGAACCAGCAGAAACAAGCCTCTGAAGCAACATCTTTTTTTTTTTTTAATTCTGTTTTCTTCTTAAATTTTTAGGTAGCACTTATTTGTTTGTGCACACATGCCTGTGTGAGTACACACACACATGCCATGGCATGAATGTGGTGCTCAGGGGCCAGCTTTCATGAATCAGTTCTCTCTTTCCACTATGCGGGCTCTCAGGGATTGAACTCAGGTTGTCAGGCTTGGTGGCAAGTGCCTTTACCTGCTGGGGCATAACAGCAGCAGCAGCTTTTCTAAAAAGCAAACTTACTGTTCAAAATTCATAATGGTGAAAAACATCAAACTTTTAGATAATGGTAGGATTCATAGCTGCATGTTACAACCCCTAGTGGGGCCCTGGGCTACAGAGAAACACATGGACACTGTTCTCTCTTGATGGTGATCAAACTGTTTAAGCTATTAAACCAAGGCCTGTCTTAACAACTGTGTTTTCTGTGTCCTCTTGAATTCTGCACTTGCTGAGTCCCTTACCTGCCCCATCCTGCTCCTGACCTTTCCAACACCCTCCATTAACAATATGGTCACTGGTACCCCACACATGACAGCAGAAATGGAAGGGGAACTGGGATAAGCAGGGAGGGACAAGCAATGGGAGGGACAGCTATTTTAAAAATGGAGAATTAACTTCTGTTGTTAAATTGTAAATCTGCAAAACAACAGTGCTTGGTGCTGTCTTTTGCTATGACCTAATTTTTTTTTTTTTTAAAAAAAAGAGGAAAACACACTTGGCAGCAATAAAAAGGGAAGTAAGATAAAGGGGAAGGTGTGATTGTCGGCAAGTAAGCGAGTGAAGAGTGGCTGAACGCACCACTGCCTTCCTAGGCCCTCATGGGCGTCTCTCTGTGAAAAGTCAGCTCAGTACTATCCATGCTGTCTCTAGAAACAACCACTCTGCGTTGTTTAAAACGTCCATCCTCCAGGGCTTGTGCTTACGCTGGTGGTGTTAGAAGTGACATGGACTAAAACAGAAGAGCTGCTTTGAAAGAGCCAGGCCAAGGCAGCCATCCATGGACACACACTCTTGCTCAGGCCCAACATTCAGCTCCCAGCCCTGCACACAGGGTGAGGACATGAATGACCCCCTTCCCCACCCCCACACACAAAAAACCCCCCACAAACATTGACAGTATGGGGGCTCTGTATCCAAAACAATACTTCGTGCCTACCCACCTGACATACATTAAGAAATCAACAACTTGGGAGCTGGAAAGGTGGCTGAGAGATTGAGAGCACTTTCTGCTCTCGCATACGACCTGGGTTCAGTTCTCAGAGCCTACTTGGTGGCTCACAACCACCTGTAACTCCTGTGCTAGGGCACCTGATGGCCTCTTCTGGCACTGTATGCACGTGGTACACACATATCCATGAAGCACTTACACATACACGTGAAATTAAAATTTAAAAAAGGAAACAAAAACTTTAAGGCTGGGGTGACCAATCTGCCTTGTGTCTTGAGTACAGAGTTCTGAGAGTCACTCTGGAGATTGTCAGTGGGCAGGGGCGTGTCTCAGCGAGCCACCACTTCTCAGAGGTGGTGGGAGTGATTCATCCCAAACAATAGAGACTCACACCCACTGGACATGAGCTAGTGTCCCCTGCAGTCTCTGTAACTACTCAACTGTGCCATGATGGTCGCTCAGAGGAACAACTGCTGATCTGATTAGTAGCTGAACTTCCTGCGGACCTTGACCAGATGCTTGGTGGGAGGCTCTCTGTAGCCTTTGGCATGAATCTGCCACCTAGGCACTAGGTACCATGTGGTAGAATAGTGTGTTTAGTACAACTGGTGTCACCCCATGCTACCCAATAACTGAGCTGGCAGCAACCCTCAGCAGCAGCAGACTCCTCAACCATCTCGCTTCACAACGAGCAATGAGCACCAGCGAGGGACACTGCACTAGGGCTAGGCCCTCCGGACCTCACATCTAAGCAGCATCACAATTGCCACAAGGTCCCTGAGTCCCTGGAACTACTGGCTCTGACTGTCCCGCTGTTCCTCCTGGTACACTCACATTGAACTCCTCACGGAAACGCTTGCAGTCATCCGCAGATCTCACGCGGATCTCCTCCTCCAGGTGCTCCACGGGGATGGGGAAGTACTTCTTGGGACCTGATGGAGATCTGCTCAGCAGCATCACTCTCTGCTGCTCTGTAGGGTCAGGAGAAACAGAGAAGCCACTTAGTTCCACTGCCCATGGGTGACTCATTCCTCAGACAGTCCGACGGCATTCCTGATGGATCTGTAAAGTGGGAGGGGACCAGTCCTTTCAAATCACGCACCCTGGGGCTAACCCAGCCCTGAGTAACTGGATCAAACATCTGCTTTCAACACACCCTATTTTCATCAAGTGATGGCAACACTCCTGTTCATCACAGACACCAGTCTTCATCTTGCTTGCTAGCTCATTTCACCAATCACCCTTCCCCGTAGTCTATGCTTGTTCCTTCCACACCAGGGCCACTGCAGCTTCAGGCTGCAGCCAGGGTCTAGGTCTGGGACCAGAGAAGAGTAATCATGGGACTCTGAATATAAGCTCAGAACAGATGGGGATCTGCCAGGATATCTGTCTTGTAGCCTCCTCTTTCTTGGCAACACACAGGCCTGTTTCCTCAAGTCCTGTACATTACAATGCAGAGAAACCAACTGTCTTTGAGGTGGGGGGATGATGCTGCAAAGGAAAGAGTAGGCTATGGGGTAAGAAGCCAAATCAGTTCCCCAAGCTCAGAACACAGTGCAAGCAGTGTCAGGGATTGGCATCTCTCTTCACAGAGAGGGAGCTGGCATTGATAAGGTCAGTAGAATAAATAAAGTGTCAGCCATGCAAAAGGCCCTGTCCCATTTGTAGAGCTACTGAGTCTACACCACAGACTCCAAGACACTCTTTGGCTTCAGCCAGCTGAGCTGGTAGAAGCCTGCAGGCCTCTGTGTCCCCCACAGTCACACTCTTCCATCTGCTCTGGCTTCTGGGATGTGCAGGGGGGCAAAAGGGGCAGAATGGAGAATGGAGGTGCATGGGAGCCATGTGATGGTCTATGCAGGAGTGCAGGTCTTCCAAGCCCTGCAACGCCACAGCTCAGCTGAGTCCTCTGTTGCTAGGATTCTCCCCATCTCAGGGAGTTGCATTAGTCTCTTTACTGCCCTGGGTGAGTTCCAAAGTGTCACTTGAGTTCTGATGACATGCATGTTACCTCAAGCCAGGCACAGCTGTGTAGGAAGTACTGATAGAAAGCTGAAACCACTGGTGTGAACCAGTGTTTTGGGTTTTTAAATGTCACACTGGGAATTGAACTAGGGGCTTTGTATATGCTGGGCAAGTGCTGTGCCACTGAGCTATATGCCCAGGTCCCTTGGCCATTTGAAGTGGGATCTTGTTATGTAGCTCTGGCTGGCTTTAAACCTGTGATGCTTCTGCCCCAGCAAGTGCCTCCAAATACTGAGATTACAAGCCTGTGCCACCCCATTCAGGTAGAACCTGCATGTTGAAATCTTCGCTTTGTCTACCATTAAAACACAGAGAAAGAAAAACAAGCTTTTATAAGCAGCATTTACAAGTTAGGACACAGCTGGAATCTAAGTTAGGCATGTCCCCTAACTGATGTTCCTTCCAACGAGTGAACAGCTTTGACAGTGCAGTGTCCTTCCCAGCTTGATCCTGAGGTAGTACAGTCTCAACTGTACCCTTCTCGTCATGAGTGAGAGCCTTACCTCAGGAGGATTTCAAAGGCCTCAGTGAGAAATGTGACTTGACAAAGCCCTGCTAAACTGACAGGATATGAGTGGTCTCTTAACAAAAAAAAAAAAACAAAAAACCCACAAACTGAAATGTCTCAGACATCCGTTCTTCTCTGTAGGAAAATGACCTCTGACACTAAGTTCCGAAATATAGAAACTCCGTTACTAGCAACTGGTTAGCAAGAGCCCAGGAAAGTTGAAGTGACAGTGCCTGCCGCTTTCAGTGCCAGCACCAAGACCCAGTGTGCAATACCTTGCTCTTCCAGGATCCCGTTAGGCATCTTCTTGTCGTTGCTGCTGACCGCGGCTTTCCTCTGCTTCCTGAACCTTAGAGGCACAAGACACGTTAAGTCTCAGCACAGCAGGGTCCCCCCAAGCCCCAAGCGTGGTGATACCCACCAGGTGAGACGGGAAAAGCTCTTTCTGCTGCTCATGGCTGAGCTGTGTGCAGCTCAGGCTGGCCAGCCTGTGTCTGAGCTGTCTGGGCCCACACCCCCAGCCTCCAGCACACTCATTTCCTCATAGGAGCTGGTTAGAGCACGTCAGCGCCTGGGGACACTCCTACCTGAAGAAGTAGGCTGCAAGGAGGAGCAAGAGGAGGAGCAGAGGCAGCAGCAGCCAGGTGAGCAGTGGCTGGGAGGCGCCAGGATCCGGAGGGCCTGCAGGTGGGAGGGTGGTAGAGCGCAGAGGCCCCGTCAGGACCTTGGGTAGGGGTAATAAGGATTCCCATAGCTTACTACATAGTACAGTTTGCAAATTATCTCCTATCAGTTATTTCTTTGGGACAGAGGAGTGTGATGGTACGATTTGTCCAAGGTCCCTGATAAAGGGTCACCTTCTTATACCCACTGTACACTCCTAGTCAGCTATTTCTCTAATCGTCTCTGGCCAGCCCCTCTCCACAGTGACGAAGAAGGTGGATATCCCTCTGGGAACAGCTATTGAATCCTAGCCCCACTGAGGCAGGAGCACCAGGCATAAGGGAACAGCCTGGCTCCAAGGTTGAGTACAGTTATTGAGGAACAGGAACACTGCAGCCTGGCTTTTGAGGATTGCGAGCTCTCTGTCACAAAGTCGGGAGTGCAGAGACTTCTGGCCTCTGGGAACCGACCTTGTTCACCCATCCTGTGTACCTACCAGGTCCGCGTCCCTCAGACAGACAGGTATTCCTGGCCTTGCACCTTGGCATTGGTGATCTTGCGGTCATCAACGCACCCATCTCTCACCCTGTTAGGGCCCCCACTGAGCTCCACAAAGTTCCGACCTAAAGGGCTCCATTCGAACTCTGCTACTCCAGTTAACCAGATTAGCTCCTCTCTCGAACTGGTCCAGACGGCCTATGCTCTAGAGTTGAGTGCATGCTTCCAGGAGTGAGCAGTTCCCCCATGGATGACCCTGGTGGTCACTAGTTAGACTTCTAATCCTTCTGGGTTCCAGAAGGGCCAAACATTGTTTCTAAGCATGTTGAAGTGTTCATGGCTTTCCTCCCATGTGCCAGCCTGATCCCCTGGAGCTCAGGGCTCCAGGAAGGAGTTTGAAATATGGTCATTGTCTTTTCCCCCCTGTGCACACAATCTAGAGGCTGTGACCCACAGCCTGCCACCTGTGGCCCTTTCCCAGAGGAACTGGTTCCCATCATGTACAAGGTCAGGTTTATATTAAGCTTAATGGCTAGGAATATCTGTCCCTCCTTCTAGCCCAAAGCCTGCACACTGCCCAGCTGGGATCCTGTGTGAGCAGCCTGGCCCAAGGCTTCCATGTCTCTCTCTCCAGGAGTGCTTTGCCCTGGACTAGGACCTGGAGCAAAATTTACCCTGGGCTGCTGAGAGCTGCCTGGCACTGAAGGAAAGAGCTAAGCCGATCTTGGGGAGACCCTTTGCTCAGGGTACCCTGATTCAACTCCATCCATTTTTGGTCAAAGGCCATTAGAAAGCGTGGGCAGTCTCCTCCTCCTTTTCCGGGAATGTTCACTGTCTTTTCTCGGTGTGTCACCATGGTGAAACTACCCACTTCTGCATTGCCCAGAGGTCAGCTTCTAGCTCAGCCTATGCTCTACAGAAGCAGCTGCTAAACTGGCTGGCCATGAGGCTCACCCCATCATAGAGAGAGGGGTTTCTGGGCCCTTCCAGTCTTCCCTAGGACTGTGTCAAAGACTTGAAGGACCAGCCTCTATGTCCATGTTCTCTGAGTACAGGCTGTGGTGATGATATGGGGATCCCACAAGGCGTGGGTTGGATGACCCAAGCCCTAGATGGGTTGTCACACAGGCAGAAGGATGGCTCAGAGGGGCCCTTTATCCCTCAGTTTGGTTTCTGTGACTCCTAAAGAGCTTTGTCCAGGAAGGCAGAGGTGAGGGCCAGAACCCCCCAGGCTTTTCAAGGGTGATAGGAACATCCAAAGCCAGGCTGGTTGGGGTGGAACAGAGGGAGCTATGTGGGTCCTGTTCTGGTTACAGAGTGTCAGAGCCTATGGGAAGATGGGTCTAGCCTACCTCTTGCCTCAAACATTGCAAAAGAAGAAACTCACACTTCATGTAAAAGCTTTTGAAATTGTGGCTATTGTCAGTAAACAGACTTAAATTCAACTTTGATAAGCAGTATGGGCCAGAAAAGAAACGTTTGTGCACAATGGGCCGTGTCCCTTCTACCCCAGTGGTGCTTTACCAGAGGACATCCTATAGTCACATTCTGCTTCTAGTTCACACTGACTCTGGTGCGGGGTGGGGGTGGGGGCGTAGGGCTAGAATGCAGAAGTGCGGATAGGTCTCTTCAGATGGTTCAGCCTTTCCCAACTGCATGTGAGTGAGTACATGTGTTTTCACAGAACTTTTAGGCATGGCATATCTGCGTGTGTGTATACACACATTTGCTTACACAGAATCTGGTCCTGACACTGGAAAGGCAATGGTTGTGTGTGAGGTGGGGCCTGGAACTTTTCAGTCTGGACACAGATTTCCCCCAGTGATTCATCTGCTTTGTCAGAGGAACCCATGCAGAGGGGCATGAGCCAGCTGGAGGAAGCTCTTTCCAGACCCTGTGGATCTTGGCACCAATCTGCAGCAGATAGTACCCCTCCAGCGAGGGGCATTCTACATCGCTAGGGAGTCCCCAGTGGGGAGGCAGAGTTGGAGTAAAGTAGGGAGAGGAGGGGAAGGAAAGACAGGGAGCACAGTGAGCAACTGTGCTCCGGGCAGAGATGACACAGCCCCTGGAGGACCAGGCTGAAGAACTTTCCTGGTCTAATCCATAAAGCTTCTCAGGCCAGAGGCCCGATAGAGCACAGACAGGGTGAGCCCATAGGCCAATCGCTCTGTTCCCCTGACATGAAGTTGTGAGTACGCCTTCCCCTACACTTTCTCCTATGAAGTTAAACTCTTAAACATGTAGATTTGTCACATGAACTAAACTCACTACTCCCTCCTGTCATCCAACATCACACGGACTGAGGGAAGGGCTGTTATTTTACCAGTTGTTAGGGAAGAAAAAATCCCCAAACTGATGATTATAAAAAAAATCATCTGCTTGATGATACACCCCAGCACTAACGCGTGTATGAAGCAACCGGATGAAACACACTCTGTCCCCAGTTCACCTCTCTCACCGATCCTGCAGAGTCGCCATGCAAGGTGAGCCTTCACGTTCACCGTGCAAGGTGCAGCCCTATGCTTCGGACTGGCTCACATTGCTGGAGTGTATCCCCACTTTGCTGTTCCCTAACCCCTTCTGCTTCTACACTAAAACAAGAAAAAAAGATACAGTCCTATTGATGGGTTTGCAGGTAGTTTGTGTCTTCGTGTGTCTGTACCACATGTGCACAGGTACTTGTGTGTAGGCCAGAAGAGGGTGTCTAATCTCCTGGGGCTGAAGTTTCTTGTGAAGGGCCATGTGGATGGTTGGGGACTGAATCTGGATCCTATGGAAGAGCAACAAGTGCTCTTGACCACTGAGGCCCCTCCCCAGCCCCTGACCAGGGTTTCTGTATGGTGTCTTCTATGAGTTGACCCTTGTGTCTACCGCCCACGTTATCAAACAGAAATGGAAATTTCCTGATGGCCTCCCAGAGCAGCCGACTTCTATGCTTGCCTGGGGTTTGTGAGGGAGCCACTTTGTCCTGGATACAAATGATCCTTCCACTTTTAGTCAGGCACAATATCATTTTAACTTGATTTTCTCTAATTTCTGGAGAGTTCGGAACCTTTGCACAATGATTAAGATGGAATTAATTAGATGTTTTGATTTTGCCCGGTGGGGTTTGACATCTTCTAATGGCTTCAGCTGTCAACTTGACACAGCCCAGTATTATCTGAGGACTAAGTTGCTCAGAAGGACCTATGGTCATGGCAGTGGGACATTTTATTATCAATTGATGTAGAAGGCCAGTGGCACCATTCCTAAGTAGGAATCTTGGGCTGCATAAGAAAGCTAGTTGAGCACAAGCCAGTGAGCCAGTCAGTAAGCAGTGCCCTTCCATGGTTTCTGCTTTAGTTCCTGTTTGAGCTCCTGCCCTGACTTCCCTTCATGATGTACCATGACTGAGATATGTAACCCAAGTAAGCCCTTGCTTTTGGTCATGGCATGTATCACGGCAGTAGCAAAGCAAACCAGAACATCATCTATTTTCCTACTGTGCTCTTTCATATGCTAATTTTAAGGATTCTCTCTGTATGTGTTATGGATAATAACGTTTCCTCAAGATTTTACATGTTTATAATGAATTCTTTGTCTAAGAAAATGTGTCACGATGAATATTGAATTCATTTTGTCCAGAGATGAAAGGAAACTATTTCCTGTTGTTCTGGTACATCTGGCAATGTGCTAACCCTCAGGAGATACTTCGTGCCTTTTCAGGGGCCGTATCTTTTAAAGAGCACTTGGGGTGCCCTCCCAAGTTCAAAACAAAGGAGCAGTCTCGTGTAACTTGAGGGTGAAGTAGTTCCTGACTGTAGGACCAAAGATGTTGCTAGTGTGCTGAGGCCAGGAAGAGACCTAACCAGAGTGAGTTTCACATTTGCTTCTGTTCTGGGTGCTGAGGTCATGTGACTTTCCTCTCTTCCTGAAAGTAACACTTCCTGCCCACAACAATGCTACGGACCAATAAGCCTTGCTTTCACATGAACTTGGACAGCCCTAGACTTGGGTGTTGATGCCATCCCGGGGGAGACTCAGTTACCACCTTTGGGGCCATCACAGGACTCTGCCAAGTCCTACCTCTACTGTGGGGAGATGGACACTCTTGTTACCAGGGCTTCAAGATGTTAATGGGGACATGCTGGCATCTTTCCATGTATGCCTAGATGGCCAGCTGTTATAGTGTTTGGTGAGGGAAGTCAGGGATATGGGTTGAAGGAAAGCCTCCTGCAGAGAGGCCTGTGCTACAGGGTCATGTGTGTGTGTGTATGTGTGTGTGTGTGTGTGTTTTCTCTGGGGTGTCAGGGCAAGGAGGAAAACTGTACAGCTAGAGTGCTCTCTCAGCCAGGTTTTGCTTTCACGGCACGGCTGTACTTCTTTTCTCCCCTAAGAGCCATCACTACACCTGTAGGACAATAGTCCAGAGTCAAAAAACCCCATAAAGCTGCTGAGCGGGCTGAAGCTGGAATCTCTGACCCACTGGGAGGGCACCAACTTCCGATGACTTTTTCTAAGAAGCTTTTCTGAAAGGAGATCGACAATTTGAGTCTTCCTTAAGCCTTGTGAGGACTAAGCGTGTTGTTCAATTTCATGTGTCATGGCTGCCAAGATATTTAGAGACCATCAGAGGTGATCTTCCGATGACATTAACACTAGAATCCATAGACATGGTGTAGCAGGTGGTCTGGCCCAGCATGGGTCGGGACTCATCCTATCAGGAAAGGAGAAAGTATATAGGGAAGGACGGGCATGAGGCAGGTACAAAGATAGGGGCTAGCCTTTGCTACTGCAGGTTCATTTTGACTTTGCCACCAAGGCATGCTGCAGAAAACCCCTCTCAGCTCCTTAGGGAGGGTCCCTGACCTCACCCATCTCCCCTGAGTCTGGCTCTCTGCGGCACAATCACAATGAAGATGGTGAAATGGCACCAGCACTCCAGGAGGCAGAGGCAGCAGAATCTCTGTGAGTTTGAGGCCAGCCTGGTCTACAAAGCAAGTCCAAGACAGCCAAGGCCACACAGAGAAACCCTGCTTTGAAAAAATAATCACAGTGAGGGAGTTGGGGGGGGGGTTGGAGCATCAGCATTGCTGGCTGTCAGAGGCTGGCCAGATGACTGAGCGGCGCTTGCTTCCTGCTGACCGCAGCAGGAAGCCAGTGCTGGGGAGTGCTGCTGTGCTCTGAAGACTGTCCGGCCCACTTGTCTCTGTAATACTCACTGCATTGCCAACCAAGGGCAGCGACTGTGCCATGTGCACCACGTGAGTCAGGGCAGATAGGCATAGAGGGGTTCAGTGAGTCGATCCAGGTCACTCAGCTAATAAGTGGGTGAGACAGGATTTGAACCCAGGTGGCGAGAGTTGAGAAGACCCACTTTTGTTTGTTCTCTCCCTTTCCACATCCTCTTCCTCACTTTGGCTTTGCATAATATTTATTCATTTAATTGAGATTAAATTTACTCATTATAAAGTGAACTTGTTTTTAATGTATGGTGTGTAAGTTTCAGGGTTAGGCAGCTCTGGCTATGATAATTCCTTTAGAGTATTTCTTTGTCCCCAGTAAGATCCCTCCTGTCTTCATCCTCAGCCCAGGCAACTGTTCACCATTCTCCTTGTCCATGCTTCTCAGGTCCTGGATATTTCCTGTCAATGGAATCCTATCTTAGTCTACACCATGGGGTTTCTCTGTTTACCTTGTGTCACTGGGAATGTCTCTGAGGTTCCTCCTTGATCTCACATGGGAGCCAATAAGTTTTTTTCTTCTTCGTTAATCTGTAAACTACAATGTAAGGGAACAGACTAACAATAACCCCACCCATGCCCTGAGGCATATCTGTCCTAACTTTCTCATTGTGCTGTCTCTTTCAACTCTATCTCCTGGAAGCCATGACATCCAAGAATGCTCCGAAGAGGAACCTCACTACATACCAATATTACGAATATTAATAACTATGTCTTTAGTCCTCATTACTAGCCTTGTCCTGGGGCTATTTCCTCCTGATCCAAGCATATTGGGAAGGGAAGGCAGGGAGCTCACAAAATATAAGAAAGCTCTAAGACTCCCTGAGGTTCTACAAGCCATGGACGGACTCCTCCAAGGAACTGCCTACAAGTTGCGCAGGAGACTGCAATGATACAGCATTCATGTGTTGTCACCCAGGCTGGCGTGGGCTTTCCAGTGAAGCAGCTGCCTCTGAGTCACCCATGCTTCTGTAAGTAACCCCAAGAAACTCACTGCTTCACCAAGATAGACATGGATACAGTAATTTCTTGGGTCTACAGTGGGTGGCCTCCCTTGGGTAATTAGATCTTTGCTCATATCTCCTCAGGAAAAGTTACACAACAGACCATGAAGCCAGTATTCACATTTGCCCAACCCTCTGGCCAGTGTTTGGCCACCGTTGCTCCAAACAGGGCTCTCCACAGTCAGACCTTTCAGAATTTACTGTTAAAGTAATTAATTGATAAGCTAATTGTGTGTGTAAGTGGGCACATATATGCTATAGTGTGTGTATAGAAGTCAGAGGACAATTTCAGGAGTCAGTACTCTCCTTTCCCACTATGCAGGTCCCAGGGATCGAACTCAGGTTGCCAGGCCTGACAGCAAGCACTCTGTCCCACTTACACCACACTGACTCCAACCATCATCAGACTTTCTCAGTGTCTTCGTTCACCAAGGCTAATGTTCCCTCCTTGAGCACACTTAGATGGCTCTGGTTATGGGTACACTCCCAGTTTCCTGGTTGGCACACAGGAAGATTCACTGAACCTCTTCCCCAGTGGTCCTGAGTGCTCCGGAGGCGGCAGCATGTGAGGCAGCAGGGGCAGCTGGGCACAGCTTAGAGGTCCTTACCTGCAGTGGTGCTAGTCCAGTTGCTCTCTGTTGGGGTGGTGTCGTTGCCCTTGCCAGCTCTGGCGAGCGACAAGCTAAAACCTGCCAGCAGGAGTGGACAGAAGGGCTCCATGGCACACCTGCAAAAAGATAAGGACCTACTCAGAATGTTTCTGGACAGTTGGCTCTGGACATGGCTGTCACTCAACAGGGAGAAAGAAGAAATAAGAGCGGAGCTCATTGTAGGTTTCCGGGAAACCAAGAACTTCTGTCTGCCGACTTCACAGTCTCTTTTGTCTTCCCCACACTATAGAGGTACAGTCACTGTCCAGGTCTGCAGGTCCAGCCAGAGGACCCAAGGCTCACAGTTTCCACATTGCCGAGGATGATCCAGCGTGGAGTAGAACCACACCCCAACTTTGTCTATACTGCCAGCCAAGAGGCATCTGTATGCGTCACCTGCTACTCCAGATACCACGTCCCCCAAAACCACCTGCTCACCCACCTCCCTTCCACAGCCATTCTCTGGCCAAGTTGTGTCTATGGTGGCTGTGCTCTCTTGGGCAAATAGATGCCAGTGCTTTTCTGTGTGCTTTTTGGGCTCCTCCACTAGGCTGACCAAATTTATTCTCTCCACACCTGGCTCAGGAGCTCCTGCCCAAACAATCTTGAGGCCAGCTTTAGAAGTCTTCCCTATCCTCTTCTGTCCTGTAGCAATATGCTATCTCAGCCCACTTCAACAGTCCCCTCTCCTGGCCTTGCCCCTTACTGTGCTAACTTCTACAGAGTGACCCTCAGCTTCAGGAGGGAGCTAAGTGTTTACTGAGTTGAATGGATGCAGGGCACCAACTGATTGTCAAGTTTGGGGTTCAACACAGAGAAAGCTCTTTCATACTAGGACCCCATGGGTGGGGTCCTCAGATTTACATTTAGCTCTCCATTTTGCCCAGTCACCTTCAGCCATCATTAGAGGTGACGGTGATGGTGACTATCTTGTGGTGCAGAAAACCTTTCTTGAGGACTCTTGACCAACGGAGGAGGCAGGCAGTAGCACCTTCCCAGTGCAGATACGTAGTCCCCGTCCATGGAACCTCATCTACAGCCAGCCCACTGGCTCTGTCTCATCCCAATTGAGAGAAATTTTGTTACTCAAAGCCTCCAAGAAGAATTTCACCCAGGAATTCTGCATCTCTAGGGTTTGATTAAGACCTCAGAACCAAGGCTGGTAGACGCTCAGCACTCAGGCTGTCCCAACAGGGAGTACAGATGTTTGTAACTACCGAAGACGTGGAAGGAGAATGGCAACCCCAGTGCCTCTCAGTTGGCAGCACTGGCAAGATGAGCGGATCCCAAGTACGCTGTAACAACGACCTCACAGAGATTAGTCAGTGGCCACCAGCATGTGTGGCCTCTGCTCTTCCTAGTTCCCAAAGGCACACTGTAGATTTATAAAGTGACCCACAGACACGAATAGCTCTGTGCTCGAGTGTGCACCTCCTCTAGGCTGCCACTTGCATGGGTGTCATGTACACAGAAACCCCTCAAGGGTAGAGTCAGTGGCTTCTGGAGGGTAAGAGACTGGGCAAAATCAGACTGAAGGACTATACAGCCCATGTTGGAGGTCAGGACTGCTGGGGACACACACCCTCAACTGGGTCCATGCTGCCCGGGCTCTCATTTGACAGGCAGCTCCACGTGCATTGCCCTGCAGTGACTTTTCTCTTTCCAATCTGTTACTGAACACTGCCATGATACTTTACATCCACTAGAGGAAACTGCAGGGTAATTGATTGGGAATTATTAATTGGCTTAATCCAACTCCAGAGATGCAGAATTCCTGAGTGAAACATTGTGCTTCACCCCAAGCACTAATAACCTTCCTCACCAAGCAGTCAGTGATCTAAGAGGAGGCTAGGCCAGCACCCTGAGGAGGAGAAGCTGAATTCCTTTCCCCCGTTATGTGGGGGTGGCTGTCTCCAAGTTCTCAGAGCCAAACTTCCTGATGGGGCCAGCAGAGGGAGATAAAGTGTGCAGACATCAAAACCTGTCCAGCCATCTGGTGTCTCCTTACTGTCCCACTTGTATTCTAAGGCTAGTGACAACCTGTCGGAGGCTCCCTGGCTATTCACTCTCAAAAACTTGCGCAGGCTACTTAGTAAGCACAGACACGAGTCTGTGCAGAAATAATGTGTGAAAGAGGAATTAAATCTACGCCAAACTCCAAGGAATGTCGCTGAGTAGTATCTGCTGCGTGACTGCCAAGTGCTGAGCACAGGAGGCTCAGGAGCTTGTGCAGCCTGCAGAGCTGGGACGAACAAAGCAGTCTATTCCCAGAAAAAGCACATTTTATTTTTACTCTCCTCAAAACCCACCCATCTATCAATGTGATTACAAGTCTATCCTTCTCATTCCATTGAATACTTTTCCAGTACTTCCCACGACAAGGTTCAAAAAGCCTGCTAGGATCTGGACATGCAAAGCCGAGTCAAGTCCTGTCTGTGGGCAGGGAGACTCCCAGAGCTGGAAGGGCAGTTCAAGGGCATCCCCAGCAGCCCCATTCCAAGCTGTGGAGGCACAGCTAAGGAGTGAAGGCAGTGGCCACGCAAGCAGGCTGTCAGGTTCTCCAGAAATGAGGCTCACAACCAGACCCTTCGGCAGGTGGGATGACACAGAAACTTGAAGGAAGATATGCATGACCTATGGTCAGGGCGATCTTTGTTTCAGCTCACAGGAGCTCTGCTTCCTAGTGAGACCTGAAGAGCAAGGGTGGAAAGTCTGGGACTGAGCTGAGGAGGCCATGGAACAATGAGTCAGTAGTCGGTCCCTTGTTTCCTCAGGCTCACTTTCTACCAACAACCCATGTTTCTAGGGTCAATGGGGGCCCAATATTGGATGTTGGAAATCTACATATCTGGAGAGTGATAGGTTTATAAACAACAAAGTATGAAGATCATTATCTTATTCTCAGATTCCTGGGGAGACCATCTCCACGCCAAGGGAACATGAATGCAGACATGGAAAGTTCCAGGATATCTTTCCCAGGACCATTGTCCCACTCCTAGGGTCCTTCACTTTCACACACACATTGCCCAGAGGTCTTGGTTAGGCAGGAGAGTGAAGGTTCTGGGGGCAGGCTAAAGTTGATCTATGACAAATCCCCAGAGCAGAAGTGTTTTTAGGAGGGCTGAAAACACTTGAGTGACAACAGACAGGCGTTTCACTCTCACCTGCAGCACAGAAGGCCTACACCCGTCATCCGTGCTAGTCAGCTAAGTCTGGGCACCCTGCACCCATGGGGGCGGTTCACCATAAGAAGTCCAGATCTGGGATGGAAGGTACTAGCACTATGAAATGATGGTTAGTAACACAAGCCATTCTATTTGGTCCCAGGCTTGGCCCTTCCTGCCTTTACCACATATTATACAGATACCAAACTGAAGTTTGAAGGCTTGCTTGTCTGTCTGTGTGAAATGCATGAGTGCAGTGACTTAAGAAACCATAAGAGGGTGTCAGATCTCTTGGAACTGGAGTTACAACCTATTGTGATCCCCTTCCCTCAACCCCATGTGGGTGCTGGAACCCAAACTTGGGGCCTCTGCAAAAGGAATGTGTGTTCTTAACCACTGAGACTTCTCTCCAGCCCTCAAGTATCTGTTTCTAATACCCACTTTCTATAAAATCAAGACAGGGTGACTCACTTGGCACGCTAATTGTTTTTTAATGATCCAGGTGAAAAGCAAAAGCTCGGATAAGACAATAAACTTTCCATGGCGAAAGAGACAACAACAACAAAACCCCAGACCTTTTCTAACTTTGGTGTGAATAGACTTAAAGGGATGAAGGATTTAAATAATTATATATATTTTAAAAAGCCATTCATTAAAATCTGCAGACACAGTGTGTTTCAGGTGTATCCATATGACCTTGCCTCTTTAAAGATGGCTTTGCTTATTAAAAAAGAAAAGGTGCTCACAGGGAGTCCTCATCTCAGTGGGTGAAGGGTGGAACTTACTTACTTTCCAGCAAAGGTAACTGAATGTCTAAATGCAAACATGGAAACATGCTTAAAAAGAGGTAGTGAAGGGGTCCTCACGTTAAGAAAAAAGCAAAAGCAAAAAGAGCAGGCAGAGAAGGAGGAGAGGAAAGACGTGGTGGTGGGTGTCCCAGCCCTGACTGTAAGTCACTTGATCGATATCTTCCAGGGTGCAGGCAGGAAACTGGATATCTAGATAGGTAAGAGCTGACCTGCTGGGGGCAGGTGTCATCCTAGGTAGGTGAAGGTGCACACGGAGGGGTGGCAACCAGGTACCGGTCACATAGAAGGAGGGAAGAAGGCAGGGGAGAAAAGATGGAAAGAGGGAGGGAAGGAAGAAAGGGAAGAGAGAGAGAGAGACTGATAGAGTGAGAGAGAAGGAGGAGGAGAGGAAAGGAGGGAGAGAGAGAGATGCAGGTGAGCAATGCTCTCCAGCTTACCAGGAAGAACTCATGCGCCTATGAGCTGTCAGCAGGCCCTGTTAGGGAAAGATTTCAATTCCCCATGTGCTGCATGCTAATTTGCATAATTCCAATTATTCACCCAGCCCTTTTGAAGATGAGTAAAAAGTGAAGAGCCTCTTCTGTACGAACTCACTCTCTTTCATCCAGGTGACAAGAGCAGACTGTGGAAATTGCAGGATCCCGCTCAGGAGCACATTCTCACAGACCGTAAAACCATACTTGGACTCATTTACTCAACAAGCAACAAGTCTGGTCAAGTCTGGTCAGGCACTGGTTTAGAGAACAGGAGGCTAGCAGCATTTCTCTCAATGGGGACGAATGAGGTCCATGTAGCCAGACTCTCAGGGATAAGCTTTACTTTCCCTCTAGGAAAAAAATAAACCCAAACCTTCCAACCTGAGAAGCCAAGAAGACCCTGAAAACCCACAAGCTGCTAATGGATAGAAGTCACATAGAACAGTGAATGAGGGTCACATAAAATTAGTGAATGTGGGCTGCAAAAGACCATTGAACAGAAGTCACAATCAATTCTTCATTCACTAAAAGTTATATGTAAGCCAGGCAATGGTGGCATATGCCTTTATTCCCTGCGCTCCAGGGGCAGAGGCAGGTGGATCTCTGTGAGTTCGAGGCCAGCCTGATC